TTCGCTCTCAGTGCAGTCCTTAGCTTGGGCAGCTGCTTCCCCAGGCTGGCCAGCCTCCTGTAGGCCTTGGGGCTCCCCAGGAAAGAACGGATATCTGCCAGGGACTGGGAGACCCTGGAGACACAGAGAGGGCGGGAAGCAGGGGCTCAGTGGGCATCTCGGCACCCACCAGCGGCCTCCGCACCCGCAGCGCTTGCTCACAGGGAATCATTAAAGTTGTCGAAGACACCTGGATCCTCACTGGGCAGGCGCTGCGGGAAGCAGGTGTTGTTCAGGTTGCAGATGAGACCCTGGAGCCAGGGTACGGTGCCTGCAGAGGGCAGCGGCTTGCCGGGGAAGTGGCCTGCGGGAATGCCAGGCGTTAAGGGCCTTGTCAGAGTCCTCACCCTAATTCCGCTCAGCCATTTATTTATTGGGTGCTGGGTTTGTGCTCTCTGGGGCCCCTGTGAATAGGGGGACTCCCTTGCCCTCCCCTGCCTATCAAAGCACCTGGACCCTTTGAGGGGGCTTACATTCATGCTGCTCCAATGGGGGTTGGAAAGAGCGGATGACCACCAGGATTAAGAAGAAAAAGAGAGGCCACAACAACTCCACCAGGATCTGGATCTGGAGTAGACAGAACAAGCAGGACAGTGGGGAACAGTGGGGAGCGCCTGGGCCGTGCCCAACCTCTCCTAAACGCCCGGGCGTTACCGGTTGTCTCTGGCGATACAGGAAATTCTTCCAAAGCAGCAGCCTCAGCTGTGTACAGAAGGCCATGGTGGAAATAGACAGGAGGCAGGATTGAGGGGTCAGACTGAAGATGTGCTGTGCAGCTGCAGGCAACTCCCTGTCCCTCTCAGAACTTCATTTCTCTATTCCATTGTGCAGGATTTCTGGACATCTGCCCAGAGCTAGGCAAACAGTGAGCACTTATTAAAATGTTACTCCCTGAAGGGGACCAATGGGAGCCCTGCCTGAGGTCATCCTTACATCTGATTGGTTGCCAGGGCTGTCACTCCCTTAGCAGCTGGTGAGGAAAAGCTATCAACTAATTATTGGGAGCGGGGCCTCAGCCTCACTCTTTCATCTCCAGTGTTTACCTGGAATCCACTTGAGGGCCTCCAGATCCTGGCCTACAGCCTTATGCTGGTCCATAGGAGAGACCCCCCACGCTCTTCCCGGATGATGATAGCAAAGTATTTACTGTGAACATTTTACACGCCTGGCTGGAAGTGGGGGCAATTCAGGAGCCCAGAGATAGGCAGTCATCCAGCTGGAGGCCGGTCCAGCTCCACCTACCACTCATGTATTATCGCTCAGAAGACTCCCTCCCCCTAAGATCTAGAAAATGGGTTAGGAGAAGGGACAGTGATGGAGGCTTCTGGAACCAGTGATCCTGACACCATCTCTTGCTTGGAATTGTCCCGCATTGGCCTACTTCATTCCTGTACAGATGGGGAAACTGACATCGCCAGCGGAACAGAGAGTTGCCACAGCTCACATACAAAGGGGCTGCACTCTAGAACTCTCCTTTACATAAAGTGGGATCTGGGAGAGCGGCCTCAGTTTCTCCCTTGGTAAAACTTGGAGGCAGGCTTGGAGGGGTTCTAATGAGGAAAGGGGCTGCAGGTGTAAAAATTAGTGGCCACCCCATTGGCTCCTGGCCCTTAGCCAAGGCTGTCGCTATGGTTACCCACTCGTAGGCGCCACTGGCCAGAGCCACCGTGCTGCCCTCCGTCTCCCCACTTTTCCCGCCTTTCTGGGCTCGACAAGCTATCGCGCGGTACTGCATGGCACTTCCCTCCATCCCATCCCGTCAGCATTTGGGAGCACAATAAATTGTTTAAACCTTAAAAAAAAAAAAAAAAAAAAAAAATAGTGGCCAGCCCTGACGGTTTGGCTCAGTGGATAGAGCGTCGGCCTGCGGACTGAAGGGTCCGGTCAAGGGCACGTCCCCGGTGGGGGGTGTGCAGGAGGCAGCTGATGGATGTTTCTATCCCTCTCCCCTCCTCTCTGTAAAAATTCAACAAAATATATTTTAAAAAAATTAATGGCCGCCGAAACCGGTTTGGCTCAGTGGTAGAGTGTCCGTCTGCGGACTGAAAGGTCCCGGGTTCGATTCCGGTCAAGAGCATATACCTTGGTTGCGGGCACATCCCCGGTAGGGGGTGTGCAAGAGGCAGCTGACCCATGTCTCTTTCTCATCGACGTTTCTAGCTCTCTCTCTCCCTTCCTCTCTGTAAAAAATCAATAAAATATATATTAAAAAAAATAAAAAATGAATGGCCAACTCTGCAGTCCCACAATACTCACCCGCAGGAAGCAAAGGTGAGAGTCTGGACTCGGCCCGCACCCCCTAGTTCCCAGGGAACCTGCCTTCGTACACCCAGCCCCACACTCGCACCTCTTGGGGCTTTCCTCTTTCGGGGACCCTGTCACGGCCCCAGCCCTCAGCGTTCGCCTCCTTTGCTCTGCCCAACAGCAGACGTGAAAGCGCGGCCCTTTGAAGAAAAAGCCCCCTAACGGCCCGGGGCCCTGAACTTCTGGCGCCCGCACCTGGTGCGCCCTCCCCGCCCCACCTCGCGCCCCGCAGTGCCCGGCCCGGTCTCCGCCCACTGCCATTGGCTGCCGGAACCGCCACTCACAGGCCGGGCCAACGGGAGCGCCGCGCTCCGAGGAAGTGGGTGGGGTCAGCACGGGGCCTCGCCGAGCCGGTTTTCTTACAAGGGACCGGTTTTTCTCAAAAAGGACCCCTCGCCTCTCGCTGCGTCACCGGGAGGTGCGGCGGTTGCAGGCTCACCTCACCCGGGCCGCCCTCCGCGCCCGCCGGCTGGGCTGCATCGCGGCCTGCAACACGCCGCTCCGCGCGCGGGAGACCCCTTTCTCCCCCTCTCCCCTGGAGGATCCGGGCCCTTGCCAGACTCGCCCTATTATCCGAAGACTCTGTTTGTCCGTCAGGAAAAAATGGGCTTCTATTTATTCACCATTCACCCCACAGTCGTTGGTCCCTGGAAAGATACTAGTGATGGCAGGAAGGGAAGGGGCCCCCAACATTCTAAGAGTAGAGTCCTGGGTCCTAACGGTCGCTTCTCGCTCCGTTAAAGTGGGTGTGTTTCACAAGGTGCTGGGAAGAGTGAGCAGTGTCGGGGGAAACGCTCTATGGAGGAAGGTGGTTTTGCTGGTGGGGCTTTGTAGATGAATAGGAGTTTGTCGTCAAGGAGAAAACTCCTAATAGAGTCAATTCACAAGCAAAGGCCTGGAGGTTGGGTGGTGGAGCACTGGGTGGAGCCCCAACTCCCACTGTGTGTGTGTGTGTGTGTGTGTGTGTGTGTGTGTGTGTGTGTGATGGAGGTGGCGGTTTGGCATTGTGTTCCCACCTCCTTTCAAAACCAGGCAGGCCCAGCCTCTTCCCCTATTCCAGGTCCTAGCCCTCAAATCATTTTTTCAACCCAGACTGATCTGTGCCCTTGGTCTCAGCTTCTCCTCCTTCCATGAAGCTGTGAAGACCAGATATTTGTCCCATTGTCCCACCCCCAGGACCCTCAGGCCCCCAGAAGGAATCCAAGCTAACACCTCCTGACTGCTAACTATCCCAGCATCTTCTTTTCCTTTTATTTTTTTTTACTCCATCCTTCAGCTCAGGGCTCAACTCTTTCTGGCTAAGTTGGGCTCTTTGGGGCTAGGGTCACCCTTTGGGGACTAAATTTATCTTTTCAGGCCTTAACTCAACTCCTTGGGGATATAATAGGCTCTCAGGGACTAGGCTCCGCCTTTCCGGACTTGGCTCCGCCTTTTTGGACTAAGCTGGGCTCTTAGGAACTAGGATTGAGACATCCCTTCAGGACTATCTTCAGCTCTTAGGGCTAGTCTTGGCCCTTCAGGCTCAGCTCGGCTCTTCTCTGGAGCTGGGCCTAGCCCAGGAGACTGCAGCCTCTCTCTCTACTCCTGTAGGTAATCAAATGAAGTAAAACATTCCTTAACAGAGCACAAGGCTCTGCAGACTCAGGCTCGGCCTTTTGGGACTGGCTTCAGCTATTTGTGTCTTGGAGGGGCTCTTGGGGCCTGGCTGTGCCCTCCAGGACTGGCTTTGGCTAGGCCGACTCTTAGGGTCTAGGCTGGCTCTTTGGAACTAGTGTCAGCCATTTGGGACGAAGATTCAGTCTTTGGCCTTGACGGGGCTATCCTGGGCTAGGTCCATGAAAACCAAATGAGAGAGTAAGGAGAGAAGAGAGGGGTCTAAGAGAAGTGAGAGAATGAGAAAGATGAGCAGTAAGAGAAAATTGAGAGGATGAGAAGAGAGTAATAAAGAGAAAATCCACCTTCTTTTCCTTTTAAAAAGAGGTTTTTTATTGCCTTTGGTCCACAGTTGGTATTTCACATTATCTCTTGGTCCCAGGGCTCCTGGGTGGGGCTGGTCCCAGGAAGGGCCTCCTAGTGGGGGTCCCTGTGCAGTACTTGGCAGGGGAGAGGGGACAAGCATGGAAGAGGTGGGGGTCAGGGTTTGCCTCAACCACTCAGAACTCTCTAGTCCTGTCTGCCTGTTTCCTCACTGGTGCCCTGTGGAATGCAGTCCTTCACCATGCCTAAAATATCTGGGGACCATGGTCCAGCCCTCTCCCAAGGAGCTTCCTTCCTTCCCACCCCACCCCCCACCCCCCCCCCCCAAAAAAAATTACTTTTGGTAAAACTTCCTGAAACTTCTGTTGGTGCAGAAACCACAAACTGTTCAGCAGAGAAAAGAGAAGAGGGGCAGAAGCAACCGGAAGCATTTGGGGCCAGTTTCCCTCCCTGCACAGGTTTCTCCCTGCCCCTCACCCCCGCCCCTGCGTGGCCCTAAGCCTGCTGGGAAATTTGCTACCTGGGTGTGCCCTAGCAGGGACCCCAACCCTATAAGCATTTGGATCTGGCTTTCACAGTCCCTCAACTTAAACACATAGAAAAACAAGATGAAAATGTAGAAAACCCCCAAATTCCCGATGGGACAATGGCGTGAAGAGACACTCTGCAGGGATGGGGCCTCAGTAGCCTGCCTCCTCTTGGTAGTATGGAGGGTACTCCGGGGCCTTCCCTGGGCTCGGGCAGTCGCCCACTGACCCTGGAGCCCCGTCAGCCATTGGGCCTTGTGGACAGTACTTGGGGTCATATATCTGCCGGCCCAGGCCAAAGACCTGGCCGCTCTGGTTGGCACCCTGGGTATAGCCCATCTGCAGAGACATGGAGGAATTGTCACACTTGTCGGTCCCCAGCTTGGTGTCATAGATGTGCCGCCGGGTCCCAGGAGCCGTCATGCCCACCTGAAGCGGGAAGAGAGAGCATCAGGATGGGAGGGATGAGGGAAATGGAACGCCCCCAAATGTCCACACCATCTCCCATCTCCCTTTACAGTCACAGCACACACTCCTCTGCGTCCCTCCAAGCCCTGCTCAGACACCCTCTTTCCTGACTCTGCCAAGAGGATTCGTTACCTCTCCTTTGGACCCTCTCCTTTGGAACCAGGAGTGTTTGGGTCCAGCTCTCCCTGCCAGGCAGGAAGCTTCCTAGTCAGGAGCCAAGGCCTCCGGAAAACCTGAGAGCTCCGAAACCCCCCCACACTGCCATAGGCGACACAGCAGGGAAAGGGAGAACCACAGGGTCTAAAAACGTCAGAGCTGCCCCTAGCTGGTTTGGCTCAGTGGATAGAGCGTTGGCCTGTAGACTCAAGGGTCCCAGGTTCGATTCCGGTCAGGGGCCTGTACCTTGGTTGTGGGCACAACCCTGGTAGGGGGTGTGCAGGAGGCAGCTGATGGATGTTTTGTTCTCATCAATGTTTCTAACTCTCTCTCCCTCTCCCTTCCTCTCTATAAAAAAATCAAAATATATTTTAAAATAATAAATAAATAAAAATGTCAGCTGAATGGACCTCAGGTCAATCCCTTGAGGGAAACTGAGGCATAGAGCTAGGTAGAAACTTCCTTGGGAACACATAGTAAGCTGAGGCAGAGACAGAGATAGGAGGGAAGCCCAGGGTGCGGGTGCCAATGGAGAACAAGGGTCTGGGCCAGGTGGGGGCGTGCCCGAGGGGGACTGGGGGAGGCCCACCTGGCTGGCACACTTGTTGGTGCCCATCTGCAGGCTGATGGTTGAGTGGTCCATGGGTGGCAGGATATGGTTCTTGGGGTCATACAGATGCCTTCTTGTACCATAGGCTGTCATGCCTGACTGGCTGGCACACTTGTTGGTACCCATCTGCAGGAAGACGGGCAAGAGAGGTCAGGCTGCCCGAAACTCAAGAGGCCACTGAGTGGGACAGGGCTGGGGTCACAGCAGAATCCCCCCGCTACCCCCGATGGGCCCTGGTGCCCACCTGGAGCCCGATGACACACTGGCCCGCCTTCATGGTGGCGTCATCAAAGTTCCGCTCCTGCTTCTCTGAGTACTTGATGCCAATGTCCACGCCACTCTGCAGCCCCTTAGTCTTGGCCTGGAGAGAAGGGGGCTGGGAGTATCAGGGAGGGGCAGCCTGCACTCCTGAGCCAGGCCCAGAGTGCGTGAGCCTGGAGGAGGATCGGATCGGGCTGCAACCTGTCCCCTTCACCTGCTGCCCAATGACAGGCTTCAGACTCAGAGTCCTGTTGGCCCCAGCCTTCCTGTTGCTCGAGCCAAGCATTCTAGTGGTGGTGGTGGTGGGTGTCTCATCTTTCATCACCTTCTACCCAGCTCTCACTGCTGCCTGGTCAGGCCATGACCACCTCTCACTCGTGCACTTATCCCTGGCTCCTCGCTGATCTCCCCTCCCCGGTCCTCATGGGGCAGCCCTTGAAAACACCACTCAGAACACCATTCCCGACATGAGAACCTCCTCCCTGTTCCTACATCAGGGCCTCGCCATTCCTTCCTCTGGAAACACTGCTCCAACCTACCCTGGTCTTTGTTTCAGGGTCATTAGACCCCACACGCTGGTCTAATCTTCTCTACTTCCTCCAGGCATGTCTCACAGACAGATAGCTTATAAGAAAATGGCTTGAAGAGGGAACCCTCTTGTAAACTCTGGGCTCAGAGGAGGTGTGCTGGCTGTTCCTCAGTGGTAACAAATGGTTCAAACGCCAGCGGAGAAGTGGATGGTGGGGGAGGCTGTGTCTGAGCAGGGGTGGGCTGTACCTGACCAGGGGCCATATGGCAAATTGCTGTAGCTTCCTCTCAATTTCGGTGTGAACCCAAAACTGCTCTAAAACAGAAAGTTTTGCCCTGGTCAATGTTTCAGTGGTTGGGGCATCGCCTGTTCACCAGGGGTCTCAGGTTCAATTCCCAGTCAAGAGTACAAAGCCTTGGTTGCAGGTTCAACCCCTGGCCCCGGTCAACCAATCGATGTCTCTCTCTCACATCAATATATTTCTCTCTCTCTCCCTCTCCCTCTCCCTCTCTCTCTCTCTCCCCTCCTCCCACCCTCCTACTCTCTCTAAAAATCAATGAAAAAATATCCTTGTTGATGATTAACAAAAAAATACAAAAAAATTTAACAATTTTAAATATAAAGACTTTTTAAACAAAAATAATTTTTTTTTTTGGTTTCTTGTCTGCTTCCTCCATCAGACTGTGAGCCCAAGAAAGGTAGACTGTCAGCCTCTGTGAATCTGTATCATCTGCTGTGTGGCTTTGGGCAGGTCGCTGCCCCTCTCTGGGCCTCACCTTCCCGGCCAGAGCCAGAAGAGACACCTGCACCTGTGTCATGTTTCCACTCTCAAACAGGTCATTGGCCTCGAACAGGTCCACAGAGTTCATGCCGTAGCTGACCATGGCCTTGATGAAGTTGGAGAGGTTTTCTAGCTGGGAGGAGACACAAAAGGGGCTGTGAGAGGACCTCAGACTGCCCGCAGGTCAGATGGGGTCCCCCTAGCCCCATCCTTTCTGCGCCCAACAGTCCCTCACTCACCTGGTGCCAGTTTTGCATGGAGCGGTTGATCTTGGGGACTGAGCCCGGCTGCAGCTTATTCATGAGTCTGGGAAGACACGGGTGGGGAGGAAGCAGGAACCTCCATGAGCAGAGGTGAGTCTGAATCTCACAGACCCAAGAGGCTAATTCTTCTCTTAGCCACTTTCCTTGTCAACCACACTGCTTCTTTCTGGGCCTTAGTTTCCCTCTTTAAATGCCATCTTCACCCACAAAAGCCCAAGATGCTAAAGAGTGACAATAATGGGTGTTGGGAGTATAATCCAGAACCCCTGATTTCTGGGAGCGAATCTGAGAATTTCCATTCAAATGTGCCAACTATGGAATGTTTGAACTACAGTCGAGTAGGATGCAGCAGAGAAAGGCCTCCGGAAACTTGAGAGGCTCTCCCACGAAAGGAAGGGCATGAGACAAGTATGTTTCCTGCTTGAGATCCTCAACAAAGCCATCTCTCACACACACACACACACATACATACACACACACACACACAGAAAGACACAAGACTCATTGAGGGAAAAGCAAGCGGGCTTCAAACGGCAACTGGAGCAGGACCACCCTGTGTGGGACGATCCGGACGACAAGCCTGTGCCCACACCCACACTCACGTGCACAGGATAATCCCATCCTTGAGACCCTTCTGGAAGTCGGGACCAATCGACAGGCCTGTGAGTCCCTCAATCCAGGTTCGGAGCTCCGCCTCCTTCTGAGGGTCATACTTGGACAGAAGCTGCAGGAGCAGAGGCATAGGATGAGGGTGAGGCTGGTGGCTCCATAGGGAGGGGACAGAGGGGTCTGGACGACCCCACACTACAGCGCTGTCCCATCGGCAGGGACACTCATAGGCACAGATAAACCACCCTCCACAGACACGCTCCTATCTCTCCCTGACAAACCCTGGCTCTAATCCACTTCCAGTGGTGCCAAACCCTTCTACTCCCACTTCCTGTCTGTGGATGTGCCTGTTCTGGACATTTCAAATAAGTGGAACCACACACTATGTGGCCTTTTGCGTCTGGCTTCTCTCACTAGTAGCATGTGTCTATCCATCCATGTTGCAGCATGTCCTCATCCCTTTCCTTGACTGAGTAATATTCCGTTGTGTGTGTGGATGGACCCCATTGTGTGTATCTATGGACCAGTTAGGCCGTTTCCATCTCTCAGCCACTGTGAATCCTGCAGCTGTGAATATCCATGTACAGGTTTTCTTAAATGCCTATTTTAATTATTATAGTTTGGGGACATACCTAGGAGTGGGATGGAGGGTCACGTGGTGATTCTGTTTAACTTACAGAGGGACCACCTAACCATTCTCTGTGTCTAGAACTGGCCATACCAGCTACTGGCTCAGGGCCTTCGTATGTGCTGTCCCTTTTGACTCAGATGTTTGCACGCTGGGTCCCTACCTTCCATCCGGTCACAGCTTGAAGGTCACCCCTTTGGAGAGGACTTCCCTGACCTCGCGAGCTATGACGGCCCTCCTCGGGTACCCTCTCTCCCTGGCCCTGCCTCCTTATTTTCCTTCTTTTACCTCCACCTTCTGTTAAAATATAGCTTCTTGCTTATGATGCATCCTGCCCCAATCCCCCTTGAGCTTTGCTGTCCAGCTCAGTGTTGTGTCTGGATAAAAGTACTCCTGGTTGCCAAAACTGGTTTGGCTCAGTGGTAGAGCATCGGCCTGTGGACTGAAAGGTCCCAGGTTCGATTCCGATCAAGGGCATGTACCTTGGTTGCGGGCACATCCCCAGTAGGGGGTGTGCAGGAGGCAGCTGGTTGATGTTTCTCTCTCATCGATGTTTCTAGCTCTCTATCTCTCTCTGTAAAAAATCAATAAAATATATATATATTTTAAAGTACTCTTGGTCCCCATCATCGCAACGGCTGAGAGAGTCTGAATGGCTGAAGCCCAGGGGAGCCCCAAGAAGTCAGGGAGACCCAGGCCAAAATGGGCAGAGTTGGTCAGCTCCAGGGCAGTCCTTAGGAGTGGGAGAAAGCTGAGCCAGCCTCCATTCAGGACCAGACTGGATAAAACTGGGTGTGTTTTCTGCTCCAGACCCCCTGCCCACCTCTACTCACAGATCCCCACTTTTCCTCTCCTCCCATCCTCCAGGGGACTGAAACTTTTTGCAGACCTAATTCCTACTCAGCTCCGCCCCAACGCCTCCATGATTTCTTTTCCCCGTGCCTCAGTTTCCCATCAAAGTTTGGAGTGGTTTGCCCAGGGGTCTCCTGAACCTTGGCCTACCCCCTGGTGACTGCATATACACCCTCGTGATAGGATACGGAATCCCTCGCCCAGAGCCCAGGGGAGACAAAGGCAGGAGGCTGATCGGCTAACCCGATCCGCTGGGCCCACCCCCTCGGGCCTCGGGCTCCAGGTTCCCAGGGCTGGGGGAGCAGCCCAGCCCCGAGGAAGCTTTGTTCAGCTAGAGGAATGAGCAGGGTCACGTCCTGAGGGCTGAGCCGGAGGCAGAGGGGCTGGTCTGGATGCCTGGAACGCCTGCCCAGCTGGGGCCCGTCCATGACGGCTGGAGGGGGCCAGGGTCCTGGGCAAAGGCGCCTGCCCCTCCCCACAGTGGCCTGAGCATTCTTCTCCACCGCAAACTGCCAGGAATGCAGCCACCGCCTTCTGCGAAATCTGCTAAATTGGGACCAGCTGTTCCCCATGGTCCAAAAGTCCGTCACCCAGCCCAGAATCAAGTGGCCATCGCTGCTCAGAGGGACACAATCGACAGCCGCCTGCCTCAGGCCACCCAGCTGGGGGTAAACTGAGGCACGGGGGCCAGACAGAGGTCTCTGGGTCTCTCCTGCCTTAAGTAGCTGGAAAAGTGGGCAGGCCCTGGGCTCCAAGCCATAGGAAGAGGGACAAGTGGCCGTGGCCAGCTGGTAGGTGGCCAACTCACACTCCAAACTTGCAAACGGAGGCCTGACTTCAGGCTGCCTCTGGCCTTACCCGTGCAGGTATCAACCTGCCCCTCTCTCACTCCGCCTCTGGAGCTACCCGGCTCTCACATGCTTCCTGATGGCCAGGGGTAAACGCCAGGGCCAGGAGGACCAGGGGTCATCAGGCGCCGTTTGCAAGCTGTGTGGTCCTGGACAGCTCTGAGGCCTGTGTCGGAGGAGGAATCATGGGGGTGGGGCGGAGGGAGAGCCTGCTGAGGGACTCTTCTCTAGCTCATGACTTCCTAAGCTTCAGCTTCCCCTTCTGTCAGTGGGATAGAGGGAGGCTCCTAAGAGAGTTCTCCCTCCTGTGGCAGGTCCTAGGGTGCCAACTGCCTAAGGTGCTCGTCCGGGGCTGCCTGACTGTGCCCTAGTGCTTCCTTCCCAGGTGTCTGGTGGGAGGATGTATGTGTGTGTGTGTGTGTGTGTGTGTGTGTGTAGGGAGTGTGTGTGCAGGAATGGCAAATGCCCCTCAGCTGGAAAGGCCCTTGCTTATCAGGCCTGAGGCCTCCCCATGGATCTGGAATTACCCCCTGTGCTTCCCCTTCCCTAGATGGGCCAGGCTGTGTGACCCTCCAAAAGTGTCTGCCCCTCTCTGAGCCAGAACCACAAAAGTTTTCTTAAAAAGTGTCTCCCGTGGGCCCCACCCCGTGTGTCCAGGTTATGAAACACACATTTTAGGGGACCGGGAGTCCTGCAGACCCCTGTGCTGCTCCTTTGTCAGAGGGAGACAAAGAGCACATACCAGGGAACAGCCCGAGCAGGCCTCCTCCTCCTCTCATCAACTTCCCCTTGCTGCCTCCCTCCCAGGTGTAAGAGGTTGGGAAATTCCTGTGGGGGTGCCCACACCCTAATTTACAAACAACATCTGGTCCACCCGCTTCCCCTCCTACGGCTTAAGTGTCCCCCAAACAGACGTGTGGCCGGGGAGGAGGGGCTGGCTGCCGGGCCTCCAGCCCCTCGGTTTTCTCTGGGCCCAGGGCTGTGGGGTTTGGGGCGGGAGGGGGGGGTCTGGGAGGGAGTCGGCCCTAATGACTCCTGGACGCTGGGGCAGTGCCAGGTCGCAGATCTCTCTGCTCCCCGGAATCCCGGAGTCCCGGTGGGCGCCCCAGAACAGAACGGCAGATGCCGGGACGAGGAGGGCCACTTTCCTCCCGGAGCCACTCTCCCAGATGTGCGGGAGCCCGGAGGCGCGGCTCTCCGGGGCGCCCCTCACTCACCCGGTTCTTGACCTCGGCCGAGAGCCCGTACGAGGGGCCCTTGTTGAACTGCGTGGAGCTCATGCCGGCGGCGGCGGCGGCGGCGGCGGCACGGGACGGCGGGACGGGACGGCGGGACGGCGGGACCCCAACTTGGCGGGTGCGCCGGCCGGACCGGGCCCGCCCCCGCCCCCGCCGCTGATTGGCCCCCGCGCTCTTGCCCTTATAAGGCCGCGATGCGCTGGATTCCTGCGGCCGCGGACTTCCTGAGCTCCCGCCGCCCTGCACCCCGGCCGGCGCCTCCTTCCCGGGAGTCCCGGAGGGAAACTGAGGAAGGGAGGGGCCGGGGCTTTCGACGGCCCTCTCCCTGCCGGGGGGGCCAGTAAGCGGCTCTCTCACCCTTTCTCGGTTTCAGTTTCCCTTTCTGCAGTGATGGCAGACAGGGAATTGTTGGACGGAACCCTAATTCCCTTGGTGCACGAGTGAGGGCTCCTCCCTGCCACTTAGAAGCACCCCCCAGTTTAGCCTCCCTCCAGGAACTCCATAGGTGGGTGGTGGACAAAGAGAACTAGAGGAGTCCTCAGAGGAAGGGGTCATTGGAGCTGGGGCTCTGATGGATGAGTAGGAGTTTGCTAGTCCAAAAGGGATTCCTGGTAGAAAAAAAGGTGCAAAGACCTAGAGGGACTGACCATCAGCGATCCAAAGAGATCAATCAGATAGACTGGGGATGGGGGATGAGAAGGGACCTTGAATTCTGGGCTGAGGAATGATGGGGGATGGAGGGGTGTATGAAATAGCAGAGTTGAAGTTGGGAGATGTCTTGGGGTTAAGGCTAAAGCTACCAAGCTACCAGACCAGGCACACAGTTGGTGCTCAATAGGTGATGTTTGCTTGTACAGATAAACCAATCAATTAATAAATAACAGAATAAATTAATTCACTTATTCAGTAATTTGTTCACTCATCAAAAGTTCCCTGACAGCCCTAACCGGTTTGGCTCAGTGGATGGAGCGTCAGCCATTCCTGTCAATAGCATGTACCTGGTTGTGGGCACATCTCCAGCAGGGGGTGTGCAAGAGGCAGCTGATCGATGTTTCTCTTTCATCGATGTTTCTAACTCTCTATCCCTCTTTGTAAAAAAAATCAATAAAATATATTAAAAAAAAAAAAAAAAAAAGTTCCCTGACATGGCCTCTGGGCCAGTTCCTTGCTAGTCAATCCTGGCTTCCATGAGACCTTAGCTCCTGCCCATCCTTGGAGAGACAGAGCCAGGCACGAAGTCCCCTGCCCCATGTGAACAAGTACAGCACAGAAAAAGGGGTCTGTGGTGGAGGAACCTGGAAGGGAAGTCGAGGCTCCACTGGCTGGCTGGATCAAGGAAAGTTGCACATAAAGGGAGACACGAGATGGGGTTCTGAAGCATGCATAGGAGTTTCACACATTTGACAAGTGGCTAGTTGGACTCTGTGAGGGCTCAGAGATAACTTACCAATGCCTCTTCCCTGGGGAGCACTCATCACGGGCTCCCCACTCTCTCAATGTCTGCTTCCTCTTTCTCTGCCTGTCAATCTCCCATTCCATCTATCTGAAGACTCCTTTCTTCAGGGTTCAAGTTCCAGCTGGATGGTCTTGGGGGAGTCCCTTCCCTTCTGGGTCTCAGTTTCATCACCTATGAAATGGGGACCAGTGAAAGTGGCAGGGTCAACAATAAGGCAATGCAAATCTGAGTATGGGAACAGTGCGGTTTCTTGGTGTCTAGGTGAGAGCTGTGAGGGTGGTAGGGGCATGGGGTGTTCAGGTAGATTCCATGCAGGTCCTATTGGGCAAGAGGTGGGCCCCAGGGCGCTCTGGAGGCACTATGAAGAGGTCTTAAGACAGCCTGCAGAGGCCAATGACTGCTGGCAACATGGCCATGGGTCTCTTTGCCATGCCCTGGCCCCTGGTGCTTGTCCAGGGGGCAACCACTTACTCCCTAGGGATACCCTGTGAGTTGGGTGTCTCTGAGAAGTTGCATGTGACCCCCACCTATGCCCATAGATATGAGTTCAACTCACGCCAAGTCGGAAGCCAATTTCAGCATGTTAGCAGGGCTGAATCATCTGGGTTAGCTGAGGGCATTTCCTCAAACTTGAAAAGGATGCATAAATGATTGCTTGCTGCCAGACAGCAGAGGGCATCTTAATCTACAGGTTATTGCCTCCTACTAGCCAAACACCTGAACAGCTTTAGGCAGTTCCTCCAATCTGACAATGGATTCAATATACCAGACTTTACCCTTTGATATGTGTATCTATCTTGCTTTAGGACAACTTGTGTTAATAAAAAGCAAGGAGTCCAGAGAGGGCTTGGTTCCTACAGCCAAGCACTTCTGGCCCCCCAAAAAGCCTTCCAAAATTATATTTTGTCTCTGGACTCTCGATTAATTTACACACAGCACCTTCTCCAGATTCCTGAACCCCTTCTAGATGCTAGATTAAGACCACCATCAATGCCAGTTCGGGCAGGAATACTCACAAGACAGCAGCCTGCCCACATCCTGGGTGCTGGGTCCCCCTACAGCATTTCTATTAGGGAGGCCAGGAGCTGAAACAGAAACAAGAAGACTGAGCCTTGATGGCTCCAAACCCTAGAAGCACCTGCCAGCCTGTGCCCCTGCTGGAGACCTGGGCAAGCCCAGCAAAACCACCCAGCCTCAGTCTCCACCTGTTAAATGGTCTGCTTCCCAGGCATTGATATTCACCACACGTCCCCAAATATGCCTGGGACGTTGTGCCACATAAGAGCTGGCACCTTAGCCCTGGCCAATGTGGCTTAGTTGATTGAGCATTGTCCCATACACCGAGGTCACCGGTTTGATTCCCGGTCAAGGCACATGGCTGGTTGCAGGTTCACTCCCCAGTATGGGGCATGCAAGAGGCAGCTGATGGATGTTTCTTTCATAGATGTTTCTAGTTGTGTTGTGAGTGGGAAACAAGCCAGATTTCAAAAACATGGTCCAGAAAAAGGTGTCACAAACATCATTGGTCATTTTTCATATTGATCACATGCTAAAATTATATTTTTGAGATATAGAGTGATGTGAAACATTTTACAAAACTGTTCTTAATTCATCTAGAAAGTTGAAAATTATGTGTGTGGTTTGTCTTTTATTTCTACTGGCTGGGGCTGTTTGGACCCATAGGCCAAATCCAGATACTGCCTTTTTTTCTTTTTTTTTTTGGTGGCCCATGAGCTAAGAATGGATATTACATTTTTAAGTGGTTGAAAATAATTTTTGTAAGTACATTTTTATTAATTTAAGAGAGGGAGAGATAGAAACATCAATGATGAGAAAGAATCATTAATCGGCTGCCTCCTGGACACTCACCACTGGGAATTGAGCTTGCAACCTGGGCATATGCTCTGACTGAAATCAAACTGTGACTTCCTGGTTCACAGGTCAATGCTCAACCACCTAATCACAGGGTGAAATAATTAAAAAAAAAAAAAAATACTATTATAGCCCTAGCTGGTCTGGCTCAGTGAATAGAGCATTGGCCTGTGGACTGAAGGGTCCCCGGTTCAATTCCTGTCAAGGGCATATACCTTGGTTGCTGCACACTTCTGGAGGTGTGCAGAAGGCAGCTGATCGATGTTTCTCTCTCATCAATGTTTCTAGCTCTCTATCCCTCTCCCTTCCTCTCTGTGAAAAAATCAATAAAATACATTAAAAACACACACACACAAAAAAAACCCATATCACCTGTGAAGCACAAGGAAGTGAAAGACAATAAAATGAGGTGTGCTTGTAATTACAGGACCTCTGCTCAAGAAACTCAGACTGATCCTATAGAATAACAGCCTAATATGCCAAGTATCCAGTTGTCTGGTTGTCCATTCAACCAATCAAAGTGTAATATGCTAATGATATGCTTAGTCCACTCAATCACTCACTATGATGTGCACTGACCACCAGGGGGCAGGTGCTCTGACCAGTAAGATTAACTTGCTGCTGGGGTCTGGCCTGATCGGGACTGAGCCAGATGGGCAGGACATGCCCTGGAACCCTCCCTCATTCCCTCCCCAGCTGGCCAACCTCCCATGTTCCTCCCTAGCCCCAATCATGCACTGGTGGGGTCCCTCGGCCTGGCCTGCATCCTCTTGCAATCCAGGACCCCTCGGGAGATGTCAGAGGGCTGGTTTCCGCCTGAACCCTCAGGGATCTCCACCTGGTTCCTGCGCAGTCTTCAAATCCACTGGGGAAAAATAAAGGCTGGTGGCAAAAGCCTAGATCCACAAACCACCCTTCCCTTTCTCTAAAGGTCTGTTGCTGGTTTTTATCAAACTGCACAATCTCACCACCATATTGTGGTAAAAAGCAGACAAAGAATCAAGACCCACAGCGACTTACACAACGACCACAGGTGCTGTTGGAACTCAGGGTAATTTAAAGGCGACCAGTGAAATTACTTTTCAGTTAGAGAGATATAGTTTACACTTCCATTTGACCTGCCTCCCTACAGCGCCTCATCAACGAACATTTCCTACCGTTCTGTTTATTAAGGTGTCTTTGACCACGTAAACCCCTCAGATACTAACTAGTTTTACCGTCCAAGCATGTCCCAGAAGCCGCGGGGTATTGTGGGGCAGCATGTAAAAGACCCGGCCGCCGCAGCCCCGCCCCCCGGCGCGCCCGGGTGAGAGGGCGGGGCCGCCGCGGGCCCTCCGCCGGCATCCCTACGTTCCCCAGGGCGTGGAAGGGCCGCTCTTTCCGGTGTTGCGACTCGCTGGCGTCAGCAGGGCCGTGGAGGCGGAAGATGGCGGCGGCGGCGGCCCTGGGGCCCTGAGGAGCGCGGCGGCGGAGAGGACGGCCGATGGCGGCCGGGAGGCGCCCTCGGGAACCCGCGGGCCGTTAGGGCGCGACGCTGGGCGGCATGTCGGAGCACGCGGCGCCCGGAGCCCCGGGGCCCGGGCCCAATGGCGGCGGCCCTGCCCCCGCGCGCGGGCCCCGCACCCCCAACCTAAACCCCAACCCGCTCATCAACGTGCGCGACCGGCTCTTCCACGCGCTGTTCTTCAAGATGGCAGTCACCTACTCGCGGCTCTTCCCACCCGCCTTCCGCCGTCTCTTCGAGTTCTTCGTGTTGCTCAAGGTGACCGTGGCCCCGACCCCCGACTCCTGACCAACGGCCGGATCCACCCCCACGACTGGCAACCTCTGACCCCGGTCCCGCCCGGGACAGCCAGCCCCCTTCACTTGGAGGTCTAGATGGGGTCCGATCCGTTGGGTACCCTCCCCTTTTGTCTGCCGCCCTAGCTCCTGACCCCCTTTCCTGACACTTCACCCTCGGAAGACCCAAGTCTCGCCCTGTGGGTGGTACCTGATCCCAACTCCAGGAACTCCCGGCCCTCTCCAAGCAGCACCCATGCTCGGTCGGCCTCACCCTTCCTCTGATGGCCCAATTCCCGGAGGCCTGGAGCCTTGTTCTGAGCTGCCTAAGACCCCCTGCCAGCCCTGCTATGCACGTGGGATCCTCAGCCTGGGAAGGACACCCCTTCCTCCCCTCCCCCCAATCCTGCCCTCTCTTACCTGACCTGGCCCACGTCCCCAGTCCTCAAACTGGGAAAGATTCCAGACACACCCTGTTCCCCTTAGGCCACACCCTGGGACCACCCACCTGCACTAGAAATGTGCTCCCCCTTCCGTTTCTTCCTTCTGCATCCCCTTTTCTTGGGCTCTTCCCCTCCTTGGGACCTTCCACCAGTCCCATACCCCAACTCTTCCTCCTCTTAGCCTTACAGAGGAATGTGATCTAGCTGAGGTCACCTCACCAGGGTTAGTGACAAAGTCACAGCCATTGCTATTACTCATGTCATAGCAAGAGGCTGTACACAAACCTCCCTCCCATCCTCCCTCAGGTGGCACAGAGGGTTCAACCATGTGTGCAGCTCAGGAAGGACCGCCATTGATCTGGGTTCCTCCAAGAAGTGGGCTGGCTCGCTCAGGTGGGCCCAGAGCTCACTGGGCACCAGGGTTCTGGGTTCCTTAGTGGAGGGATGGTTCCAGTTGTTGCTCGGCCCAGCTGAGAAAAGGGAGAAACAGGCATTTAGTTTGCCAGGGAGGGGCTGGGGTGCAGACATCGCCAAGCCAGCTTTGGGCTCTAATGCTAGATGTGGAGGCACTTGGGTTGCTGGCCGGCTCCAGGGCCTGGAGAGCGGGGCTGGGAGCTGAACATGGAGGCTTCCAGGTTAACAGAGTGCTTCCTGCCACAGCTGTGGGTCCCAGGCCCCGCCCCCTGCACTTAACAACTCCCATCACCAGCTCAGTGGTCCCCAGACACCATGTTGGGAAGAAAGGCTGGGGTGCAAGCTGGCTTGTAGGAGGCCTCCCACACTGCCTCACCCAGCCTCATCCTCACCTCTCAGAGGCCTCAGCTGTTCTGCTGAGACCTGAACAACCAGGTGCTACAATGTCTGTCTGCTGAGATCTTGGTGATGCTCTAATCTCCATCCTTCGGTGGCACTGTTGTCTGCAAGTGAAGGAAACAGCTTACATTGGCCCAGGAGAGATCTTGGAGCTTACGCAACTGGGGAGACTGGGCTGGCTGGATTCAGGCACGCAGCAGTGTGCTCAGAAGTGGGGCCTCTCCCATTCTCAGGTCGCAGCCACTGCTGCCAGCCAGGAGTTGGTGCCTTCATGACCTGGCCTTTGCCCACTTTGCAGAGCAGACTCCAGAGGGGAGGCCAGGTGTCTACAGCTGGCATTGGTACTACCCTTTGGGGCTCATGGCCCCATAGGGATGGGGTTCTGGTGATTGTGTAGCCATGGGCAACTCACCAGCCGCCTGAGTATCAGTGTCCCTGTCAGAGGGCAGAGAAAGACTTTGTGCTTTGGTCTCTGTGGCCCAGGCTTTTCCAGTCTGTGGTTCTGGCCCACACAGTGAGCTGGTCCTGGAGAGGAGTCATTCGGTAGGAGCTTGTGTGCTGGCCCTGCCGAGGGATCACCCCAGTCTCTGACTGAGTAGCCCCTGGCATCGCCAGTTCCCTGACATTCATTTTTTCCTGGGAAGGCTGGCACCACATGGGACCAGTTGGGCCCTTTCCCCCAGAGTAGGGCAGTGGGTGTGATGCATGGGGATGATGCTGTGGACATGGCCTCCAGGCTGGGAAAGTAACACTTATCCAACTGGGCCCCATGAGAAGCAAGATTGTCAGACGTGAGGAGTTCTTGGGGAGGAGGGTGTTTCTAAATAAATCCAATGGAGGTCCTTTGATGCACTCTGAGTAGGGCAGAAGTTGCTGTTGGTGACTTAGGGTAGGGCCCCCCACCTCCCAGCACTTCTGATATCAGGCCGCTTGCTCTTTGTGGGGGCTGTCCTGATCACTGGAGTGCTAAGCAGCAGCATCCCCTGGCGCCACCCCCGGAGAATAGGACCATCATATGAGACCCCTGCCATCCCCATTTTACTAATGGAGAAACTGCCTCCAAGAGGCAGAGCAAGCTGGCCCTGTCATCATGGGAGGGGTGCAGAGTGCTTAGCGGGCAAGGAAGGCTGTTTTTAGCCGGTGATGTCAGGGGCACTGTGAGGACAGGGCAGAATGAGGCAGCTGGGCAGGCCTCTTGGGGACAGCGGGAGCCCAGCAGGTGGCCCAGGGGTGATGGCACCCGGGCTGGGCCTCCCAAGGACCAATTAGTTCCACACGCACATAAGAGTGCCACGTCCTGGTTCATAGAGCAGGCGGTCAGGACCTTGGACCAGTGACACCCCCAAGACCCTTGCTGCCAGGAGAGGACAGGGTGGGTTTGGAGCTTAGGGAACCTCAGAACCCTGGGGTTCCCTTTCTTCCCCACAAAGCTCAGGCCTCACTTTCCGGTGGGGCCCCTGCCCCCAGGCCCTGTTCGTGCTCTTCGTCCTGGCCTATATCCACATCGTCTTCTCCCGGTCTCCCATCAACTGCCTGGAGCATGTGCGCGACAAGTGGCCACGAGAGGGCGTCCTACGCGTGGAAGTACAGCAGAACTCGAGTCGTGCGCCAGTCTTCCTGCAGTTTTGTGACAGTGGTCGCAGCGGCTTCTCTAGCCTGGCTGCAGAGCCTGGTGGCCTGGAGCTGGAGGAGGAGGAGGAGGAGCTGACCATGGAGATGTTTGGGAACCACTCCATCCAGGTGAGTGTGCAGAAGGACGTCACTGTTGGGGGAGCTCTGGACCTTGCAGGGCCTGGCACTCGCCTTGGGATGGGATGTGGGTGCTGCAGAGCAGACTGTTACCTGAAAGGGCTGGCCTCATTCTGGGGATGCTGAGGAGGCCCTGGGAGGGTTTGGCTGAGAGCCCAAGCAGTCCTGGTCATCCCAGATGACATGGCCGCCCGCAGGGTGGGTGTGTGTGGGCCCATCCCCAACTTTGGGGCATAGACAGGCACCTGGAGATGGCCAGGATCTTGGTGCTGAGTGAGGGGTCTTCTCGTGAGACGCTGGTCAGAGGCCCTTCCGCCCCAGAGGTGGAGGGCATTCTGGCAGGGGCTGGGGTTACAGTGGACAGGGCGGAGTGCATCTCCTTCCAGGTGGCAGGAGAGGGGCCTCTGTGCCAGACAAGGGCCCACTGACACCCTGTCTCCTGGTGACCCACAGTTTGAGTTGGACATTGAGCCCAAGGTGTTCAAGCCGCCCGGTGGCCCTGAGGCCCTGAATGATAGCCAGGAGTTCCCCTTCCCTGAGACACCCTCAAAAGGTATGTGTTGCCAAGATGTCAGGGGGAGTCACACCCTTGGACATGGAGAATGGTCACTCCGAGCGTCCATCTCCCTGTCTGTCAGCAGCATGTGAGGCAATAGAGGTGCTCCTGGGCGCTGGTCACACTCCCTCTCTGGCCCCGCCTCTGCAGGAGGGAGGTGGGGTTGGCTGAGGCTCTGAGGCTGACAGGCCATTCTCACCCACAGTGTGGCCACAGGATGAGTACATTGTGGAGTACTCGCTGGAGTACGGCTTCTTGCGCCTGTCCCAGGCCACGCGACAGCGGCTCAGCATCCCGGTCATGGTAGTCACCCTGGGTGAGTCACCCTGGGGGGGCCATGGGTGGGAGTGATCCAGAAGCACTTAAAGATGGAGATCAGGCCTGGCCCAGCCAGTGTGGTCAGTAATAGAGCATCAACCCATGAACCAGGAGGTCACAGTTTGATTCCTGATGAGGATACATGCCTGAGTTTCAGGCTTGATCCCCAATGGGGGGTGTGCAGAGGCAGCAGATCAGTGATTCTCATCATCCATATTTCCATCACTCTCCCTCTCTGAAATCAATCCTGTATAATAAAAGGCTAATATGCAAATAGACTGAACTGTGGAACCACCGGTCGCTGTGACGCACACTAACCACCAGGGGGAGACGCTCAAAGCAGGAGCTGCCCTCTGGTGGTCAGTGCACTCCATAGGGAGAGCGCTGCTCAGCCAGGAGCCGGGCTCTCGGCTAATGAGTGCAGCAGCAGTGACCGGAGCCTCTTCCGCCTCTTCCGCCTCTGCAGCAGCACTAAGGATGTCCTACTGCCAGCTTCGGCCTTCTTTCCTAAGTTGGCAGTTAGACATCCCCCAAGGGCTCCAGGACTGCGAGAGGGTGCAGGCTGGGCTGAGGGGACCCCCCCCCCCTCAAGTACATGAATTTTGTGCACTGAGCCTCTAGTAAGAATATATATTTTTTTTAAAAGACTGAGGTCTGGGACCATCCCCCAGGGCCAGACCATCACAGCACTGCCTAGGGGGATGGATATGGACCAGTGGGGGCCTTACCAGGTGCACCCCTGTTGTGTGCCACCACAGATCCCACACGGGACCAGTGCTTCGGGGACCGCTTCAGCCGCCTGCTGCTGGCCGAGTTCCTGGGCTATGATGACATCCTCATGTCCAGTGTGAAGGGTCTGGCCGAGAACGAGGAGAACAAGGGTGTGATTGGGACCAGGGCTGGGAGGGTGTGGAGCACGGTTTTGGGGGCTGGAGGGCAGACCGTGGTGCTCACAGCCTTCCTGTCTAGGCTTCCTGCGGAACGTGGTGTCAGGCGAGCACTACCGATTTGTGAGCATGTGGATGGCCCGAGCATCCTATCTGGCTGCCTTCATCATCATGGTCATCTTTGTGAGTGTCCTGATACAGGCTGGGCAGAGGGTGTGGGGCAGGTGGCCCTTCCCTAACCTACTCGCCTTCCCTTACAGACCCTGAGCGTGTCCATGCTGCTCCGCTACTCCCATCACCAGATCTTTGTCTTCATTGGTGAGTCTCCCAGCCTGGTGGTGGGAGGAAAGGTGGGGTCAGCTTCAGGCCCCCATGGCCCCCTGCCCACCCCACCCCCCAAGGGGCGCCTCACCCGGTCTGCCCGCCCGCCACCCTCTGCCCGCAGTGGACCTGCTGCAAATGCTGGAGATGAACATGGCCATCGCCTTCCCTGCAGCGCCCCTGCTGACCGTCATCCTGGCCCTTGTGGGTGAGGACCTCTCTGCCCACCATTCTGCCTTCTCACCCAGTCCCTACACCCACCTCCCCTGTTCCTGGCCTTCCCATCATGCCCACCGCAACCCACGGTCTCCCGCAGGGATGGAGGCTATCATGTCGGAGTTCTTCAATGACACCACCACCGCCTTCTACATCATCCTCATCGTGTGGCTGGCTGACCAGTATGATGCCATTTGCTGCCACACCAACACCAGCAAGAGGCACTGGCTGCGGTGAGTGCCACGGGGGTGCAGGCAGGGTCAGGGTGGGATATGGACTGGCGGCACCTCACTGTGCCCCCTGCAGGTTCTTCTACCTGTACCACTTCGCCTTCTATGCCTACCACTACCGCTTCAACGGGCAGTACAGCAGTCTGGCCCTCGTCACCTCCTGGCTCTTCATCCAGGTGAGGGGCCCGCCTACTCGAGGTCCAGCCCGTGGGAGGTCTGGCTCTGCGCTGGACCTGACCCACGCCCACTCTCCCTCCAGCATTCCATGATCTACTTCTTCCACCACTATGAGCTGCCTGCCATCCTGCAGCAGATCCGCATCCAGGAGATGTTGCTACAGACACCACCGCTGGGCCCTGGTACCCCCACGGCGCTGCCGGATGACCTCAACAACAATGGGGGCGCCCCGGCCGCTGCACCTGACCCTGCCAGCCAGCCTCCCGCCCTGGACCCTGGCTCACTGGGGGCTGGTGGTGTCCCCAGGCCTGTAGCTGAAGCACCCAGTTCTCTGGTAGCTGCGGCAGCCTCGGTGGCTGCCGCGGCCAGTAGTGATCTGGGCTGGATGGCAGAGACAGCTGCCATCATCACAGACGCCTCTTTCCTGTCTGGCCTGAGCGCCTCCCTTCTGGAGCGGAGGGCAGCTAGCCCCCTGAGCCCGGGTGGGGGATTCCCTCGGGGCCTCCAAGCCCCCCCGGACAGTGTGCCCCCAAGCGACTCCCCAACACCTGACACAGGTCCTCTGGCTGCTGGAGTGAATGGGCCCATTCCTGAGTCCCCAGCCCCAACAGATGAACCTTCGGAAATTGGCTCCTAAGTCCTGGGCAGCTGAGTGCCTCTGTCCCTGGCTGTCCAGGCCAGCTGGGTATGACCTGGCTAGGGCCCTTGGGGATCAGGGAGGCTGTCCCCGGTGTCTGGGATTGCCCAGTTGGCCTTGGGTTGGGGTCCATCTGGTTTGCCCAGGGGTGGGCTTCTCTCCCCTGGGTGTGGGGCTTGCCCACAGCCTGCCCCTGCCACATTTGTGGCGGGTCTCCTCAGCCAGCAAATCAAGGCAGGCTGATGAGCTAGGGCAGGAAAAGGGATGGGGATCTCCATAGAAGGCTCTGGAAGGGGTTGGAGTAAGGTCTGGAGCAAGCTGTATCTAGGGGGAGAGCCTAGCAAGTCTCTGAGCCAGGTGAACACTGGTGGGGCTCCCTCACTGTCCTGGGCACTCAGCTGGTGCTCTGTTGTGCGCAGTGCCTTTTCCACAGCCCCTGCCCCCACATATGCGTGCCAGGGCTGGGGTATTGGCACAGTGACACTGTGTGGGCGCCAACTGTCAAAAACAGCAACCAGGCGCTAGGGTCCAGCTTGCTCCTGCTGGAGAGAGCCAGCAGCCCAACTGTGTCACTCGGTGAGGACTGCAGAGTGCTCATTCCATTCTATTTAATTGCAGTGTACAAAATTGTGTTTGTATATAGAATAAACTGTCTGTTGACAGCACCTAGCCAGTGTCTGCATGCACCAGGTTCTGGGATTAGCTCCTGCAGGATTCGCCCTCATGCAAAGCCAAGTGGGCTGGATGTGGTATGGCATGGCCAACTCCCAGCGATGAAGCAGGTGGAGACCACTGGAGGCCTAGAGCAGGCACAGTGGCCCATCGCAGCTGCCACCTGGGAGCTGGGCCAGGAGCTCCCCACGCCGCACCAGCGCCTGGCGGAGCCTTGACCGTGCATCCGCAATGTGCTGCTCCAGTTCCTCCAGCTCCCCTGGGCGTGGGGCGCCAGTGGGCAGTATGGTGGGTGGCTGGCCGTTGGAGCAGAGCTGGATGGGACCCTCAGGTGGCCGGTTCCTTTCCACACCTGTGCCCACTACTGATGGAGCAGTGGCCAAGGTTGGCTCCCGAAGGAGGTGCAGATGACGCTCCCTTACCATGGCCTGGCACACCCGTGTCCAGTTGCCCTGGCCTGAACGGGCAGTTGGTATGTCTTGTTGCTTCTCCAGATCCCTGGGAACAGAGGATGGGTGGGGCTGGATCAGTATCCCCCAAGGAACAGGGGTAGTCCCTCTGCTTTCTGGGGTCAGGGTTCCTAAGAGGCTGTGAGGGGTGGGAGGCATGGACTTAGTGTTTCGGCTCTGCAGCTGTAAAATGGCAGGCCTGAGGCGAGGGTAGGAGCTGGTGGAGTGGGAGCCCCTTACCTTGGCTCAGGTTCTTTCTGCTTGTCCACAGGCTCTGTGTTGAGGGCGAGGTGGATTCTCTGTGAGCCAGATAGAGGCTGTGTTGGGTCAGGTTGGGAGGTTGCCCATGCTTGCCCACCCTGTGATATCTCCTCACCTGACTCATGTGTAGCCAGTACTGCAACCTGTTACCCCTCCGGATACAGGGCAGCACCAGGTGGTAGAAGATGTGCTCCCCCAGAGAGCTGAGCAGGGCACTACCCAGGCCCAGGCAAAGCAGCACAAAGAGACCGGAGAAGTGGTAGATGCCCATCTGCAGGGTCTGCAGAGGTGGGACACAGGCACAAGCCCTTCATGGTCATGGTAGACCCTTGGGGAGCCCCGGCCTGGAGGACAGTTTGGGCCAGAGACAGACCTGGGGCTGTACAGTTGGATTGGGAGGCCAGGCCTCCATATTTTGGAGCAAGGTTCTAAGGAGCTGGGATTTTGTAGGATGAATAGGACTGCACAAAAGCAGACAAATACACATCTTGCTTATGATCAGGGGGTTGGCCACCTCAACCCACAGGCTCAGGGCCCCCACACCCTACCCCCACCCTGTATCCCAGGCCCTGTCCCACCTCTGTGACAGCAAATACCCGCTTCCCGCAAGGTACCATCTTGTACCACTTGTCATGCAACAGATCGATGAAGCCAGAGGACTTGTAGCGGCTGATGAACTCGGACAGATTGGAGGTGAGCGGTGAGTTCTGAGGGAGTCCAATGCCATAACCTGATGAAGGCCAGGAATTGGGTTGGGGCCTGACTGGACACAGCCCAGGGGAGCTGTGCCCACGTTGAGCCCTCAGTGGCTCCCTGCAGCTGCGGGGTCACTGGTCTCAGCGGCTTCTCACCCTCAATGGCAAAGGGCTTGCCCACAGTCAGCAGTTTGCAGTCGGCGTCGATGGAGACCTCATAGTCCAGGAGCGACTTGTCCATGATGAAAGCATTGAGCTTGGGGGGGTCGCTCCTGTGGGGATGTGGAGGGGGTGAACACCTGCCCTGGAAGGCCTCCCTGCCTCCTCCCGCCCCCCAATCCTGCTGTCTCCCCTGGCCTCACGTGAGCATGGCAATGCCGTGGGGTGTTGTGGGTACGCTGTGCTGCCGCATGTGCGCGTGCATCTCGGGGAAGCTCTTCTTGATGTAGGCCTCTGCACTGCTCTCCCACACAGTGCCAAAGCGGAAGCCCTGGGACGGGTGGTGCAGCTGTGGGCAGGTGAGTGGTCAGGGCCAGGCCCTTCTCTGCACTCACCTGCATTCCCACCCGACTGCTCTGGCCTCCCACCCAGGCCCAAAGCTCTCAACCAGCGTCTCCCCTCCCGACTGACATGAGGCCAGGTCATTTTCTGTGGAAGGTTGTCCCAGGCACTGCAAGTGTAGAGCAGCATCTCTGGCCCCATCCTCACAATGCCAGGAGTGTCCCCACTGTGAAACCACAAATACCCCAGACATGACCTAGTGTCTCCTGTGGGCAGACACTACCCGAAGTCCATCACACACACGTGGCCCTGAACTCCAGACTTCCTACACTTCCTCCAGGGCTCCTTGTTCTCCCTCCTTTCATCCCATGGCCTGTCCTGCAAATCCTGTGGGGTCAGCTCTGCCTAAGAACACCCACAACCATGCCCTGGTCCATGGTGGTTAGCCTTCACATCAAAGGGTCACGGATTTGATTTTCTGGTCAAGGGCAAATAACTAATTTTGCTACTGTTTATGAATCGTAATGCAAATATCTGTTTTCCCATGGTTTTAGGCTCTACAGCAGCGATTGGAGACCCACAGGTTGAGAACTGCTAGCAGGATTGCCTAAGACAATCAGAAAACACAGATATTTACATAATGATTCATTAACAGCAGCAAAATTACAGTTATGAAGTAGCAACGAAAATTTTATGGCTGGGGGTCACCACAACATGAGGAACTGTATTAGAGGGTCGCGACATTAAAAAGGTTGAGAACCACTGCCTTAGAGGATGCAGTCAGCCAGATTCAAACAGTAGATGTTATGAACAACAAAAACCCAACTATTTCTTCAATAAACACTAAGAAATAAATGAGAAGGAACTCAAGAGCTCAGAGATTTCTACCATCTGCAAATGAATCAAACTGGGAAAATGGGTCTAATATTTGTAAAAATTCCAAGTATTTAAGATGAAATTATATAAATCATTGATGATTCTATATCTCCCTCTCCCTGTCTGAAATCAATAAAAGTATTTTAAATACATAAAAGTTTTTAAAAGTAAAAATGTGTAGACTGGGGCACATCCCTACTCTGCCACAGCCCCCCAGGGCCCCAGAAGTTTCATCTCAGAGAGAACTACTTTAGAAGCCCAAAGCCGCTTGCATCCATAGGCCCTGCACGACCTGCCCACTCTGTTACCTCCCTGACCTCACCTCCCTCCCTCTGCTCCCCCTTTCTCCTCCTGGATGTTCCTCCAACACCCCAATACCAGGCAAGGTCCTGCCACAGGGCCTTTGCATGGGGGCTGTGCCCTCCTCTCTCATGTCTATATAAAAGTCTCATGTCACCCCCTCCCAGAGGAATTTCTGACCTCCATTTGAGAAAATGTCCAAACACTCCTGTGCCCCTCCTCTGCCTTATTTTTGTCCCTGGCACTCACACACCATCTGTTTTGCTTATCTCTCTAGCTTGATTCTTGCCATTTCTCCACCAGGGAGGGGGATTGTCACCTATTTTGTCCCAGCTGTGTCCCCAGTGCCTGGCACACCACAGGTGCTCAATAAATGTTTGACAGAGTAAATGGCCACATGTAGTTGGGATGGGTAGCGTGTGAGTGGGCAACCCCCCAGCTCTGGCCACGGCCCCCACAGCCAGCCACCTTGGGGTCGTGAATCCCGGACAGCTCCTCGAAAGTCTTGTCCCCGACCATGACGGCAGCCAGGTTGGCCGTGTAGCTGGACAGCACGAGCAGGCAGAAGATGGCCCACAGGTTCATGAGCAGACGCCCGGTGGGGCACTTGGGTGTCTTGCTGGACACTGTGCGTCCAAACAGGATGGCGTAGCAGAGGTTGAGGGCCGAGGAGTAGGAGAAAACGGAGCCGCGGTTCCGGCCGCGGGGTGTGAGGCCATAGGGGCTGCACCACTCATACAGCGTGAGGAAGAGCGCGGTGAGGTGCAGGGCGGCAAAGACGCCCAGCCACATGGACCAGTGCAGCGGCCACATAAAGGCCCCGAGGGGTGAGGCCGTGTCTCTCGCCCGCACCATGATGCCCAGGCTGGTGGAGAAGAAGGGGCTGCTGAAGTCCACCACCTTCAGGCGGGCCGAGTTGATGCTAAAGCTGGTGACTGCCATGTGGGCCCTGCCTGCTAGCAGGTCACCCACCAGGCCAGTCCAGCGGCCATCCCGCAGGGCGCCGTACTTGCCATCGCCCACAATGTACAGCTCAAAGTCAAAGGGTGTGTCCTCTGCCAGGCGCTCCAGCAGGTCAATGCAGTAGCCATAGCAACACCTGCGCAGAGCACGGGACACCGAGCCATTGGCCAGGGCAGCAAACAGTGCGTCCAGGGTGGCGGAGTTGTTGGTGCCAGGGGCCAGGCACAGCTGTCCTGCTGGGCACTGCCCATCCTCGTCTGGTTCTCGGGCAAACACAAACGGATGCTCCACCAGGGTCACCACACGCAGCTTAGGCTGGACCCGGGCACCCAGCGGGGATGGGGGCCGCAGGGCAGCACCCCCTGGCTCCAACTCCAGCCTCCCATCCCGCCAGCTGCCCAGTGTGGCCCAGGCTGGGGTGCCCAGTGGGTCCTGGCGCAGGCTCCACACCTGGAAGTGCCGGGACATGTGCACCTGGGAAGAGCTGGTCACCCACACTGGCCCTGTGTGGCCCTGGAAGGATGTGTTGCTCAGGAACCTGGCAGAAGGTGGGGGGCAAACAGGCATCAAGTAGTGGTAGTCCCCCAGCAAAGCTCAGACCCTGCTCCCCACCTCTCGGCATGTACCAGGGACCTCTGTGAATGCAGTCCCCCTCACACACACCAGATTTCTACCAGCAGGGACATGAAGTCAATGCTGGACCACCCAGTTTGAACGCCCAGGCAGCGCCCCCCCTGGCTCTGAGGAGCTGTCCACCCTCTAGCCGTCCCCTGGCATCAGGCAGAGACACATGCCCGCTGACCTCTCCCGCTTCTCCCAAAGAGCCAAGCACGCCCTCCACCAGAACTCCTTTCTCAGGCCCGTTTCCACCAAGACGGGGACAAAGCCACCCTCTTATGAGGCCACAGTGCCTGGCATAACAAGTGCCCAGTAATGCTGCCCCAGACAGAGGCAGCTCCACGTGGAAGCTGCACCCCCTTCCCACAGCAGGGTCCCCACTCACTGTGCCAAGAAGTGGCCGGAGGACCGGAGTGTGGCTGGCTTCAGGCCGTCGCAGTTGGTGGTGGCGGGGAGAAGGATGCGCTCCGGCTGCAGGCGGGCTGCGCTGCCCAGCGCCCGCGCCATCAGCTCCACCGCGTCGTGGATGGTGGCCTCCAGGGAGGGCCGAGCCACCTCGCCCAGTGCCAGCAGCCCAGGTGGCAGGCCCTCCGTGGGCAGGGCCTCCGCAGGCAGCGGCGTACCTAGCAACCAGCGGGGCCCGGGAGGGACGGCCTCCAGCACCCGACGGGCACGGGCCACGTCACAGCCGAGGAGCACGGCCGCGGGTACCGGGGCTGAGCCTCCCTCCGGCGCCCCCAGGAGGGAGAGGCCGGCCTGCAGCCCCGCATCACCGGCGTCCGCTCGGCTCACGTCCAGCACAAGCTTCGGGGCCCTGCCAGCCAGGCTTGTCCAGAGCGCCACCAGGCCCCCAGGGTCCCGCATGCGGCAGAGCACCAGGCCGACGTCCTCCCAGGCATGGGCCCGCAGCACCGACACCAGCACCTCCAGCAGCGTCTCCAGGGGGCTGGCCCAGGCCAGCTGGAGGTGAAACGGGTTCTGGGGAGGGGGTGGTCACAGTCAGGGCTGGTGACCACCATGTCCTTCCCACCCCCACCACTAGGTGTTCGATAAACTGAGGCCGTCTCGATAATGAGACCTCATGCCTGTCTCCTCCCAGCCCACCTCTGCTCCAAACCCTCCTGTGGTTCCCCACGGCCATCGGCACTAAGCCCAGCCTCCATGGCCTGACAGTTAGGGCCTTCTGCTGTGTCTCTGGCCACCCTGAGAGCATCCCACTTGGAGGATTTCTGCATGTGCCATTCCCAATCTGGAATACTTTTCTCTCTCTCCGTCAGTCAACTCCTACACATTCTTCAAAACTCAGCCCCTCTGCCCCCTCCTCTATTTAGACATTCGAATCCACCCTCACAACTCTGGCAAACACAAATCCCTCATTCACCACAGTCCTGACCTCACCCACCCCTCCTGTCTGGGAACCCCTCAAGAGTCAGGACTAAGGCTCCATGATCATACAGTGGCTGATGACTTCATGCTGGGAGTCAGGCTAGACTCCTACACATCACTGCCCCTGAGCCAGGCAAACCAGGGGCTAAAGGGTTCCTTGTGCCCCAGGGCACCCAGAAAGTTCTAGATTTGATCAGCCTGTGAAAGAGGGGAGAGCTTTAAAAAAAAAAAAAAAGGAAGAAAGAAAGAGGGGAGAGCTTTGACAGACACCTAAGGTGGGTGGGATGTTGCCTGCCTGAGGACAGGGCACCCAGTGCTGGGGGACAGGCTGGGCACAGCTTCTCAGTTCGTCCCCACAAAAACCCCGACAGTTCCTACTGTAGGGGCGCAGTTCTTAGAGGCGGCAGCAGAGGGCGCCCCAGGCCTAGATTTGGGTCCTGCATCTTCCATGGGGAGGAGGCAGGGGTAGGAACATGAGCCGCCCAGGGGAGAAAGAGGTCCTGGAGCAGCTTTAAGGTGGTTTGGGAGGGAGGGCGACTCCCACCAGATCCATGTTCCTCTCTGCTGGGCCTAGGAGGTGTGTATAGGGGGTCTTTTCCTGGGGCACAACATGGTCCCCTGAGCCCTGCCTGTCACCCTTCTCGCCTCATCTCAGTTTTTAAAATCTTCATCCCAGATCTGGGCCTGTGGTGGGGATGGGGTGTATCTAGAAAATAAACTTCAAAAAGGTGGAGAGTGTGCAAAGGAGGATGGGGGCAGGGGGGAGGGCTTTGGAGTGAGAGTGGCCTGAGGACCCAAGAAGGGCCACCCACCCCAGAGAGCAAAGCGGGAGACCCTTCTCCGAGCCATGGTCCCTGCCCTTGGCCCTGGAAGGGGCCACTCTCAAGGAGTGGGCTGGGTCCTGGGCCAAAGGGTGGCTGCAGTGGCGGGAGCCCACCACCACGGCTCAGGGAAAGGGTCTGCACCTGAGTTCCATGCCCCAAAGGGGGCATCCTCAGGGTTCTGTATCCCGGGTCCAGAAAAGTCCCCAAGGGTCCGGGAACCGAGGGACCAGGGCTCTAGGCTTCTGAGCACCTGGACTCCTGCCTCTGGTTCCCATGTTCTGGGATCCGCTGGGATCCAGGGGCCCCGGGCCCGCGAACCCAGCGGCGCCGTCATCGGACTCCTGGGCATCCCCCGGACGCCTGCATTCGCGGTCCCAAAGTCCATCCGTTCCCCGCACCTCAGGATCTCCCGGAGCCTCCCTGGTCCACATGCCGGCGCCGTGCGTACCGGGGCGCCGAGGGGCGCGCGCGCCTCCCGCCGCAGCAGGCTGAGCACGGGGGTCTCGGTGGCGGCCGCCAGGAAGTGCAGCTGCAGCAGCTCCGGTCGCGCCTCGGGGAAGGCGAGCACGGCCACCACGCCCGGCGCCGCCAGCGTCTGGCACAAGCCCAGGGCCAGCGAGGCGGGGTTGCGGGCGGGGGTCTCGGCGGTCACCAGGTCCAAGCTCAGGTTGTGCGGTAGCCGGTGCTCCAGGACGGCCCGGGCCAGGGCGGTGCGGGCGCGGGCTCGGGCGGCGGGTGCGCGGGGCAGGAGGGCGCCCAGGCGCACGGAGCCCCCCAGGCGTGCCAGGGCGCCGCACGGCTGCGGGTGGCCCCCGGCGGGCACGGGTCCCAGCGCCAACGCCAGGCCCAGCCACAGGGCCCGCACAAACCCCATCCCGAAGTTACCGGCCGGTGCTGTGGGGAACCGGTGCGGCGGGCACTGAACGGCTGGTGCCACGCGCAGGAGGCAGGATCTCAGCCGGCCCAGGCCACACCCATCCCGGCCCGGCTCCATCGTCCTGCCCCCGCCCTGGCCGCTCCCTGCTCCCCCGCAATGCCAGCGAACCACTAGGGAGGACTGGACCCACTTCCCAGGCTGGCACACAAAAGCTCAAATGGCCACAAGGCATGGGTGCTGGAAATAACCACTGTTCTTCCCCTTTCTGTGCCAGGGGAGGAGATGGAGGCTGACACCAGGGAGAGTTTTTGGTCAAAAATTATCCCCATACTTACCCCTGTTCCACTCCAAGATTCCCCTCCAGCCTGGGAGAGTGGTGGGCCATTGTTCACTCAGGGAAACACAGCAGCACCTCCCACCTCCAAAAAGTGGTGTCTGTCCATACCAGCCCCCTGGAGCGTGCTTTCCCTTGGTGAGCTTTCCCTTGGTGAGCGCCTTCTCCCTGGGGAAGTCAGACAGGTGTGTCTGATGGGAATCTGGAGGACAGATCTCATGTTCCCTGGCTGTGGGCAGGCAACTTAAACCAGAGAACTCCTCCTCACTCTCCAAGACCCAGTGCCAGATGCCACGGCTCTGAAAGGGGTTCCCTCTGGTCACCCAGAAAGACGCAGAGCCGTCCCCACCCCGTTCAAGTTCACTCTGCCCACCTTGACTCCATCACAACTGCCAACATGGTGCTTGACTAACTGTTCAGAGAGACACTGGGTTATATCACTGTCCACTGCTCCAGAACTTTCCATAACTCCCTGCCACCTACCAATCCCCAAGCTTGGGTTCTCTGGGCCTCCCCACCTCAAATGACCCAGGGTCCTTGTGCTCCTGGCACACAGCAGGCGTTCAGAAAATGCTGGATGAATCAGGGCCAGCAGCACTGCGTGTGGCTCTCATCCAGGATGGGTGTGGGTGGAGGACTGAGAAAATGGGGGTGTCTCCCAGACCCTCCTGGATGCAGAACAGCCTCCCAGCACAGAACATTCCAGCTCTACTGGCTGATTTTCTCACACACTAACACACTTTCTTGGGGAGCCAGTGTTAGAAGGGCAAGGAAGAAGACTCCCTTAGATAAGCAAATATGCAAGTGCCCGCCAGCAATAAGAGTTGAAATTTGAGATGACTGTAATGAAAACTGAATTCCAGGTGACAAGGTATCTCATCCCATCACCTGGCCAGGTACCCCAGGATAGGGAGCACCCCCAAGGGCCCTGGATTCTGGTTCCCTCCCTGTCTGAGGCCACTGTCATGCCAAGGAACACCCCACCTGCCATGGTCCTTAGTCCCTCTGGGCCTCATCCCACCCTGGGTAACGGTCCCTCTGACTGCATGAGCCCCAGAAATAAGGGCCCATCCTGGGTAGGGCACACTTTCTTACCTTCATCTGGGATTCAGGCAGCCAACAAACAGCCTTTTGTGTCTTGTCACTGAGCATGTCCTCAAGGTTCATCCATGCAGTAGCAGGTGTCAGAATGTCCTTCCTTTTTAAGCCTGAATAATAAGTAGTCCACCTTCTGGACGGACCTCATGGTGTTTACCCGCTGAGACAGGCTGCTCCTTTGGGCCGTTGTGAACATGCTGCGGCGCCGTGCTGTGCGGGAGCTGAGTCCGTCCTCAGTTCACTTGGGTGTCCATCCACCTGGAAGCGGGAGTGCAGGGTCCTGTGGTGATGGTGTCATTTTTTGAGGAACCACCAGACTGTTTGCCACAGTGGCTGCCCCACTAGCTGTGCACAAGGGTGACTTCCCCTACTTGTGAACACTTTTTCTTAAAAAACAGGTGGTTCTGGAAGGTGTGAGGTGCCATCTCCTTGTGTTTTACAAAAATTCTGCCAGCACAGTGAGTTCTGATGATGTCCACATGTCCCCTCTGACAATGATGGTCTAGAATTTTGGGTCAGATTGTGCTAAGAAATGTGAGCCAGACCTAACAGGTTTGGCTCAGTGAATAGACAGTTGGCCTGCCGACATAGGGGTCTCAGATTCAATTCCAGTCAAGGGCATGGACCTTGGTTGTGGGCACATCCCCAGTAGAGGGTGTGCAGGAGGCAGCTAATTGATATTTCTCTCTCATAGATGTTTCTAACTCTATCCCTCTCCCTTCCTTTCTGTAAAAAACAAACAATAAAATATATATAAGCTGGATGGGGAAGAGGTCAGCTTTGTGCCCACCAGCCATGTATGTTATTTGCAAGGTGCATGGTGGGCTGGCCAACCCACTCTAAGCCCTTTTATGGTGGCCTGCTGAGGATGGGTGACCTTCCAGGACTATGCTGGACAGAGTTATGGAGGCTGTCTGCATGTTGTTCCCCCACCCAGGGTGTCAGAAGCTGCAGGGTGGGCAGGTACCACAGCCCCAGGGCACCAGGACCCTACACCTTACCCGCCAAGGGCACCCCAGCAGTGGAAGGTTCAGGGTGGTTTGGGGATGCTCTGGCCCTGGAAATATTAATACCTGCAGGGTGAGGGACAGTGGAAACAGTGCTCCCTCCCCCACTCCCTCACCACCTTCTCCAGGGAAAAATACAGATCCAGGGGAGACTGTCAGCCATCTCACAGCAACCTGCCAAATCTGACGCAGACTTGGGCAACAGTACCAGACTCAGACCTAGCCCCAAGTCACCTACCAAGCCAACAACACAGTGGAGGGTTGGGGTTTCATGTGGCCAAGCAGAGGTGCCCACACCAGAATCAGGGCCCAGAGGGTCTTGGGCTCTGGCAGATGAGATACCCTAGGGGAGCCTGAACTCATCTTAAAATTCCCCCTCCATCTCCTAAGACCAAGTTCCATGCCCCCAGCTTTGCTGACCACCTGCTAGACTCCATTCCACACGTGCGGAGAACCATGATGTAGTCCCTATCAAGCAGTTGGACCCCCTGCCTGACATGAAAAGACAGCTCTAGGTATCCTGTCCTGGATAGGGGAGGGGTAAGGCAAGAGCCGTACGCTGCAGTGTACGACTGAGCCACCCGCTGATGAGGACACAGAGCCCCGGGGACAGGGAACTCCAATTAGCCTAAAAGCATGAGTTCATGCTGGCTTCTGGCTTGCAGTTGCAGTTATGATGGCACCTGATCAATTACGTGAGTTTTCTGGATCATTAAGCAGTACTGTCACTGAGGGGCAGCTTTCTGGAAGGTTCTCAGGGCAGCCTCGGGGCTCACACTTCTGGGCTGGCCTCCAGGTGCTGACTGGACTGGTGGTGGCCCCAGGGCAGTGGAGGCCCCTGGCCTCCCTCAGGCCCTTGACAAGAATGTTCTGGTCCAGTGGCCCGGAACTGGCTGCTACCCCAGAGTCTCTGCCTTGACCAAGGTTGAGGAGACTTGGTGGCCATCGGGATGTGACCAGTGTGAACCCACACCGCTTTCCCTGCATCACCGCCACCTTTGGTGACCTCGGCCTGTAGCCTCCCCATCCCCTCCCATAGGTGGCGGCCTGTCCTTCAGGATCATGCAAAGGCAGCAGGCTGAAGTCTGAGAACCACAGCCTCCCAACATGATTTGTAAGTTGGGCCTGACAGCCTGCCTCGAGGGTCCTGGAGCCCAGCCTGGGACTTGGGACAACCCTCAGCACACACAGAGGACTCAAGAGAGCAGACTTTTAGATCTTTTGTTAAAACAAAATAGCACCAACTGGACACAACAGACACGAGTGGATCAACACAGACAAAACGACCCCTCTTGCAAATAACAATCCGACACGGAACCGGGGAGAGGAGAGCTTGTAACAGTGCTGTTGGTCCGGGGCTCGGCCCGGTGGGCCCAGGACGGGTGGCTCGTCGGCCTGTCCGTGGGAAGGAGTCGGGTCCTGGCGCTCATTTCGTGGGCCGGGTGATGATGCGGGTGGAGAAGTCAAACAGGTCTCGGTTGATCTTGCGCAGGTTCTGCACCTCGTCTTCCAACTCCGTGATTCGGATCCGCAGCTGGTCCTGACCGCCCAGCACGTTCTGGGAAGGAGCAGCGTTGAGGGATGGGGGCGCTCAGGGTGGAGGGCCCTCTGCCGTTTTGGGGTGGGGTAGGGGAGAATCCCCTCCACAATGAACAGTCCCGCTCCACCCCCCCCCCCCACCGCTCCAGCCTCACCCTCCTCCCTGGCCCTACCCACCTTTTCCATCGTGCTGCACATTACCATGTGCAGCTGCTCTGCTCGCTCCAGGTAGCTGGGCTCCGATCCCTGCAAAAGAAGGGCCGCCTTAGTGGGCTCCGGGCTCACCACCCTCACACCACCCAGAAGGTGAGGGAGGTGCCATACTGATGCCTCCCAGATGGACAGGTTCCAAGTGCCGCTCACTAAGTGGGATGTGTCTGCGGGAGGCTCCACCTCTAACCCAGGCCAGCAGGAAGCAAGCCATCAGCCTCCTTAGATCTGCTGCCTGTTGCAGGACTGTGCCCAAGGGACGGGGACACTCAAGGCCACACCAGGGGTGTGGGATTAGAGCCAGGCTTTGGGGGATAGGCAGAAACCAGGGCCAAGACTCCAGAAAAGGGCCAGCTAGCATGTGGGCAGAACCTGCCCATCCTCCGACACGCATGGACATCGCCGCAGCGGAGAGCCCGACCCTCCAGCTCCATGTGGTCTGGACATGCTGCCCCTGGCTGGCAGACAGGCACTCGGTCCTGCCATCCATCACGTCTGAGCGAGGGGCCTGGACACCCATGTGGGGCTCATGATTCCAGGGCACGGGAACAGCGGACAGAGGTGACTGAGCACAGCCAGAGTGGCAGTGAAGGCCCCGCCGAGGACAGGCCAAGTGATCTCTGGCGGGAGTTCCTGGTGGCAGCAGGGGAGTGAGCATGCCTCCGGTCCTACTGGAGAAGGCACCGGATACAGCGTCTTTGGTCAGGCTTGTTTGCTTATTCGAGAATGTGCCCTGGTATGCGGTCTGCTTGTTGTGTGGCAGGTGCTTTCTGAGGGCAGGTGCTGGCCACCAGCCTAGGCTCACCGATGCATTCAGAGGGGTCTCCCCCTGAGGGCATATGTGGAGGGCCCTCACAGGGATCTGGGCCAGGAAACCCTACCCGCAGGGAGCACAGAGGCCGAGCCAGGGCAGGGACTGCTGCAGAGAGTACAGTACCAGCTGGTGGAGGCCCAGGCGCAGAGTCAGGCCTCCACGGCGCTGCTCATCCCCATGCTCGGCGCCCAGCAGGTGCCTGTTGAAGCGTGGCAGGGGCAGGCTGGGCCTGAAGTCGGAGCTCAGCATGCTGACCGGCGCCAGCATGACGAAGGCGTTGGTCACGGGGCCTGTGGGAGGGCAGGTGGCCTGTCAGGAGCTACCTCGGCCAGGCCTGGGCCATGGCTCCACACCCTCCACTCCTCAAACCCACCCACCTGACAAACGGGCAAAGCCACACAACTTGCAGCCTGCTGTCTTCTGCCCCAGCCCCACCTTTGAGGGTCACTGTCCGGAGGCACTGCTTGCTCTGGATGTCCCAGACACGCACGGTCTCGTCGTGGGAGCCGGAGAGCAGCACGCTGCCATCAGTGGACACTGACAGGCAGGTCACCTGGTTCCTAGGGACACAGGTCTGAGAAAGGGTGGCCCAACCCCAGGAGCAAGAGAACAGGGCCCCTCCCCAGCTATCAGTCTGGTCCCCACACCTGTGGCCTTTGAACACCTTCCCGCTGTCCTGCTCTGACTGGAAGCTCTTCTCTCTCTGTCCAGGCTGTGGAGGCCGAGGGGCCAGTGAGCAGAGGGCAGAGCTGAACCTCAGCCCTGGGGGCCCCAGGGCACTAGGGTGATGGGCAGGGGAAGAGCCCAATTGGCTCAAAGACCTAGATGCAGGGGAGGATGGACCCCGGGTGTCCCACTGTCCCACAAGCCTCCAACCACGGCCCAGGCGCCCACCACTCACCCAGGTGCAGAGGTCGACCTGGAAGATGGAGCCCTCACTGCCACCGCAGAACATGTGATGCTCAGCGAGGTCCATGGTCACAGCCATAATGCCCACGTCAAAGAGCACAGAGAGCAGCAGCTCGCCTGAGGAGATCTCCCACAGCTGGGCAGGCAGGATAGGGGGTGGGGGCTCCACAGACACTGGGGTCCCAATGGCGCAGGGAGCTGAGCAGCCCTTCCTGGGAGACCCTGCCTGCCCCAGAACCTCAGACGGGAGCTGTCACTCGGGGATCTCAGCACGGGGGCCCTTCCTGAGACACAGCTGAGTTCTCATGCCCAGGACCCCCCGTCACTCCATTTTAGCTGCTGTCAGGCCTGGATTCTGCCTTCCACAACCACCACCACCACCAAGGACAAAGACCTAAAGGTTGGACATTCTCAAATCCCCGAGTTCTCAGGGAGCCAGCAGGGGCAGGTGGCCAAACGAGAATTCCAGAACCAATACAGGCCTAGACTGCCGTCCCATGGATGTCCTTGAGGTGGAAGCACTGGGGGATTAACAGCTGAACAGAGCTACCAGCTTGGGAGGAGCAGGAGATTCACTGACTCACATCAGTCACCCCATCCCAGCTCACAGATCCACTGCAGGAGGGGGGAGTGGGGGGCGATCCTACCTTCACCGTCTGGTCCAGCGAGGCTGTGGCCACCCGTGCCAAGGGCCCCCCAAAGCCACAGTGCATGTCTGTGATGGGGAGGGTGTGGTGGGACCAGACATGCCGGGGGGCTGGGGTCCTGGAGGAGTCCACCTGCAGCACGCTGCCGGAGAAGAGGATTCAGGGGGAGGGCTGCACCTGATGCCTCCGCCCACCTCCACACGCCACTGAGCCCATCCCGCTGGCAGAAAATTCTCCACACAGTCCTGGACGCACCAATCACACTGTCCTCCCAACTGCAGGCCCAGACCCAACTCCTTCTTGCCCCGGGACTGCGGCATGGCCTTCTGCAGGGCAGGCGGCCGCCCTCTGTGATGGAAGCTATGGACTAGGCGCGGGCCCGAGTGGGTCAGGGCGCTACCTGCACAGGCTCCACACCAGCACCAGGCAGTCCTTGCCGCCCGAGAGGAAGTGGCTGCTGTCCCCTGTGAACTGCAGGCAGGAGATGTCCTGGTAGTGGCGGCTCAGGATGACCAGGAGGTTCCCTGTGGAGACCTGGGGAAGGCAGGGCACACGCAGGTCAGGGCAGGACACAGGGTGAGTGTCTGGTCCCACAGCTGGCAGATTCCTGAGGTGCACTGAAGGGAGAGTCTGCCCAGGGGCAGGGAGAAGGGAGGTGTGACTACAGCATCCAGAAGAGGAATGGGTGGGAGGGACCACACTGGTGACCCAGGACCACGTGGGTGGCTCCTCATGGCCAGCCATGAGGGGCTTCAAATGCGGACACTTGGTCTAGCAGGAGGGGGGGGGGAGCACCTCCTGCTGTGAAACCTGGGGGAGGGGAAACCTAAACCAGCAATAAGCCGAGCAGATCAGTCTACTGGAGAGGGAGGCACCTGGCAGCAGGGACAGGAGAGCCCATCACACACCTGTGAAGGGCTACGGCATGGGGGGAGGGAACACAGATGATGTCATGGGTTAAACTGTGTCCCCCAAATAAATATGTTCAGGTCCTAACTCCTGGAATCTGTGTCCTTCCTTAAGCATAGGGGTTTTGCAGGTGTAATCAGTTCAGGTGAGATCACAGCAGAGTAGGGTGGCCCCAAATCTAAACAGGTCTCCTTACAAGAAGGAAACTTTGTCACACACACTTGTTCACCCTGCCCCCCTCCAGCCCTAACACACACACTCAAAGAGCAAGAGGGAGAGGTCATCAGTGGCAGCTGTGGGAGCAGCTGTGAAAGCCCTCAGCCTGGGCTCCTGCCTGTTGGCCGTGTAGGGCACCCCCACGTGGTCATAGCTCACACTGGTTAGGAAATCGGAGTTAGGGCCAGACAGCAACCCCAGTGGCCTGGAGTACTGTGACGGTGCCCCATCAAGGAGGGGCGACCTCCTAAGATGTCCCCATCAGGCCACAAGCCACTGGTTTCTATCATGTGCCCGGCACCAGGCAAAGATTTCTACCATGATGGACAGGCAATCTGTGAGGAGCCTCTCCCTGCCTCCGGTCCTCTCCCTGTGCATGAGTAACTGCTTCCTGTTTCAGAACCAGGACTAAGGTTGAAAAGTCCCAGGATGAGATAACGAAGCTTCTCCCACCTGGCAGTGAACTCAGATGTCTCCAAACGGCCCCTGGACGAACCAATCACACCGTCCTCACAACAGCCCACCTGACCTGCAGGCCCCAGACCCAGTTCCTTCCTGCCCAGGGACTGTGGCATGGCCTTCTGCAGGGCAGGCTCTATTTTGCAGGTCAAGGTCAAGGTCAGGCAAGTCAGAGGTGGTTATACTCACCTTCTGACCGCAAATCCTGCACTGTCTGCACAGGAGGTGAGGCAGATCTCCTATCTCAAACAACCAAGTGTTGGTGACAACGCTGGTGGTGGTCTAACTCCACAGTCCATAGGCTAAGCCCCGTGACCCTGGCTCTGACACTCACCTCCCACAGGTATATGCTTTCTGCAATCCCTGCCAACATGTAGAGACCGTTGGGCGATGTGGTCAGACAGGTAACAGGCCCGGGGCACATGATCTTCTGCTGGAGCTGGTCCTAGAGGAACAGAAGCAGCCTGTGAGCTTCAGAGAACTTGGCAGCCATGGGGCAGTGAGGAGAGTGAGTGGGAGGTGCCCAGGCGGCTGGTAAATCCAAGAAAACCGGAAAGAATGGGGATAGAGATGGTTTGAGCAAGTTCAGTAACGAAGCATCCACTCCAGCCCAGGCTTTGCATGCTGGAGGTGGAGAATGGCAAATCCTTGGATAAGAGCAAGGTGATGCTCATGTCCATCCGGCCAGCGTAGCTCTGTGGATGAGCGTATACCTATGAACCAGGAGGTCACGGTTCGATTCCCCGTCACGGCACATGCCTGGGTTGTGGTCTCAATCCCTAGTGTGGGGCCTAAAGGAGGCAGCCAATCAATGATTCTTTCTCATCATTGATGTTTCTCTTTCTCTCTCCCTCTCTTTCCAATTTAAAAGTATACACATATATTTTAAAAAAAGAGAAAAGATGGTGTCCTATGGGCATAGGGATGGGGGTGGGAGAGGCACAGTGAGTCCAGGAAGGTGATGGAGCTGGAGAACCCAAAGGCCAGTCGTCTTATTCCCTGATCCTAAGGTCCCATCCGTGACCCTGAGCCTCAGTTTCCAAATCTCTAAAATGGGAAAACAAGTTCTGTGTGGCCCACACCAGGCAAAGCCAGAGCACAATGCTTGTCCCAAGAGATGCCAGGTGGCAGAAAAGGGCAGCATGTAGCTGCAGGAGAATTTTGGGATTGCTTTAAGAGGAGACACCATGGGCTCCAAGGAGTAAGGATGGGGTCTTTTTTAACGTCTCCCAGGCTACCTTTTCAGGGAGCTCACCAGGCCTTAGATCTTCACTCTCCAAGCCTACGAGACCCAGGAGACCCCAACTACAAACTCTCCCTCTAAATTTAGCACCTTAGAAGTTTGCTGACCTATCCCTGAGTCCGATGCTAACAAACTAGCCTTAGAATGTAGCTTGACCCCTCCCACACGAAGCCAAGAAAAAAATGGATGGAGTCCTAACCGGTTTTGCTCAGTAGATAGAGTGTAGGCCTGCGGACCAAAGGGTCCCATGTTCGATTCAGGTCAAGGGCACCTGACTAGGTTTAAGGCTTGATCCCCAGTAGGGTGCGTGCAGGAGGCAGCCAATCAATGATTCTCTCTCATTACTTATGTTTCTCCTCTCCCTTCCTCTCTAACATAAGAAAAAAAAATATATATATGCATATATATTAAAAATGGGTGGCCCTCGCCGGTTTGGCTCAGTGGATAGAGTATCAGCCTGCAGATCAAAGGTCCTGGGTTACATTCTGGTTGCAGGCTCCTCCTAGGCCCAGGCCTTGGTCGAGCTAATGCAGGAGGCAACCGATCGATGTTTCTCGCACACTGATGTTTCTCTTTCTCTCCCTAAAAGTCAATGAAAAAAATATCCTCTGGTGAGGATTAACAACAAAACTGCGTGGAGCAAACCTATGTTTCTCTCTCTCTTTAATCAACTTTTAAAAAATACTGCAGAGTCAGTAAATAGATCCTAGCTTAAAAACCAACCACAAAATTTCCCTCCCCTTTCCGCACAGCTCCCTTTAGGGGCCCACGACCTCCCCATCCCTTCATGCCGGCAGGTGCCAGGCCAGCAGCCTCAGGCCCGCCCGGGGCAGCCACCTCCTCCGACCAGAAGCCCCCCCCCCGGCCCGCGCATGCGCAGAGCGCCCTGACCGAGCCTTCCTCCCGGCGCGGGGCGTGGGCAGCCCCGTGGACCCCGGTCTGAGGCGTCCCGCGCGCCCCCAGCGGAGCCCGAGCCCTGGCGCGCGCGGCGCACCTTCCGTTGCACCTCCCAGGCGCTGATGTAGTTCTTGCCCAGCTGCGCCGCCAGCAGGTACTCGCCATTGAGCAGCGTGAGACCCCGGGGCCCCGCCTGGCCGCCGCGGTACGTGAGCAGGTTAGCGCCCGAGTGGAGCTCCCACACGACGCAGCTCCACAGCTGGGCGGACGAGTCTGTACACACGGCTACCTCAATGGGCGCCGCCATCTTTCCCTTCCTCCGCCCCGGAAGTGCGTCACACCAGCAAGGCGTGGGCGACTTCGCCGCAAGGGCTAGAGCGGCGCCGGCGTGGCCCCGCCTCCAGCGGCTGGAGGGCGGGCTCCCCTGGGAACGGGCCCACCCCTCCCCCCGCACCCCTCCCCCCGCACCCCTCCCCCCGAACCCCTTTCCCCTGCACCCCTTCCCTCCGCACCCGCTCCACCCGCACCCCCTCCACCGTCACACCGTCACACGGGATCCGCTGAGAAGCGAGAGCGCAGCATCTGATGGAAGATCTTGGTAGGAGACCTCTTGTGAAACCAGATGGAAGAGAAATCAAGGCCCAAGGTCTTCTGCCAGAAGTTAGTAGGTTCCGAGCTTGGAAGTCTGGCTTGTCTTCCACGCTTGGCGCTCTCGGATTCTCTTTATTTTTATTTTTAATAACCAAATAATAAAGTACCGACCTCACAGGCGTCAAGGACAGACTCCGTCCCGACATAACGTATTTGACGTCATTTAACACATTGTAATTAAGTGTGAACTCACGGGCCCACCATCAGCCTACCCCCGGACCCTTCTTGGGCGGAGGTCCACTACAGGCACATTTTTAGTTGATGAACTTGGTGCAGGCCAAACAAGCCGGGAGCGCCTAACTTCAGGTCACAGCTGCTGTCCCGGCCACGTCTAAGAAAATGACTTTAAAATGTGGAATTAGTTGCTAATCTTTGGAAAGGGAGAAATCACTTAAGAAATGGAAATCTCCAGCCCGGGGGACTTGGCTGCCTAAGGCAGTGTGGCCACAAGCAACACCCGGGGCGAGGCCCAATGTGGGGGGGCCTACAACGATGCTGAGCTCGCCCCTCACGCCAATGGGAAGGGCGCCCAGGCTCCGCAGGCCCAGTTCCGACCACAAGGGGGCAGGCGGGGACCGTGGGCCGGGAGGCGGAGTGCGGGCCGCTCCCAGCCCTGGGGCCACAGTGCATAGCAGTTACTGGGCCAGGAGGACTTCCCAGAGGGAATAACAACTTGAAGAGAAAGGTGGGCAGAGACAGTGCCAAGGCCCGAGGGCCAAACCCTAGAGGGGGCGCTGGGCCATCTAGGGCCTTGTGGGCAACTGGGAGCCTGCATTTAATTCCCCCCCCCCCCCAGGGATGGGAAACTGAGTACTCTGTGTCTCAAACCCCAGCACTAGCTAAATGGGGAAACTGAGGCTGGGACCACCTAGTCCAAAGACGGACTGGAACTAGAACCAGCTGTTCCTGATTTCCACTACCATAACCAGCGGGTGACCTTAGGTTTCACAAATGTTTTTAAAGTTTGGCTCAATGGATAGAGCGTCAGTCAAGGGCATGTACCTTGGTTCTGGGCACATCCCCAGTAGGGGGTGTGCAAGAGGCAGCTGGTCGATGATTCTCTCTCATTGATGTTTCTAACTCTCTTCCTCTCTGTAAAAAATCAATAAAATATATATTTTTAAAAGTTTTGTTTTTTCTTAAAAAAAGGATACCTCTAATGATAAATTACCCTTCTGAAACAACAAAATAAAATACCTTTTCGTCCGCCCCCCCCTCCCCAAACCAAATCTTAGAATGCTGAAATCCAGCACTCTGTAGAATCAGGAGGTGGGCCAAGGTGGCCCTTCTAAACAGCAACTCAGGGCTTGAAATGGGCACTTCTGAGCCCTGGGGCAGTCACTGCACACCCCTGGGCCTATTCCCCACGTGCAAAGTGGGGGTTCCTTGGAGCTAAAGGGTCTGTGTCCTCATCCAGGGAAGGCTGGCCTGGAAATTTCCAGATTCCTGGACATGGGTGGGCCCAGCTGGTATGGTTTGCAGAGGACTAACTGTGCCAATGGGGATAAGGGACTGAGGGTGGATGCTCAGGCTGGAACACGTCCAGGCGCTGCCCCAGGGCAGGACTGCCGGATTGCAGTCCGGCCCCCTCACAGGCCTCTCCCTCCTCCCTTCCTCCCCTCCTCCCTTCCCTGGGGACCCAGTAGGCCAGGCTGCCGTCAGGTCAGAGGTCACCCCACCCCCAGCCCCGTTCCTGGAATGAGGACAGACCAGTTGTGTCAGAGCAGCAAGACAAAAGCCACACTTTGGGGGCCTGCAGACCACCCAGGCTCTAGACCTCCTTGGTGCCAGCCAGGCGCCACCCCCCAAATCCAAGCCGAGAGGCCCTCGGTGGTAGTTGGGCGGTGGCAGCAGCAAGTAGGCTTGGGGAAACTGAGGCACAGAAACGGCACAATCCCTCTGGCTCTAAGCCCCTGTTTGCAGCCACTGGCACCCACTGCTGAACCGAACCAGACCCTGCCTTTCCGGGGCCCAGCCACCTCTCACCCTGCCCACTCAGGGCGTGGGGGCCTTGAGCACCGTGGCAGCTCCCGTGGATGTCCACTAATGGTGCAAGGAATCGTGGATGAGTCCAGAAGCAATCACCCTTTCCACCGCTGCTCCCCACCCCCTCCACCCAGGTCTGCCTCTCCCTCCCGCTAATCAGGCCTCGTTTAGAGTTTCATCTCCTGGGAGCCTCTCTGCCTAACAAGCAGAGCCGGAGCAGGAGGCGCCTGGGGCGGGGAGGTGGGGAGAGGTGGTGGAGTCTGACCCCTCCCTTCATGCCGCAGGAGCTGTGTGACCTCAGGGCCCCAGTCCCTCTCTAGGCCTCTTCAGCAGAGGAATAAAGATGCCAGACTAGCCCATCCAGTTTGTGGAAGGGGCTTTAAAGAAAACAAACACAACACAAGAAAGACACTTTTCCTTTATGTCCCTGGGGAGTAGGGGCTGAGAGGGGCAGGAGGGTTAACCTGTCTTCTCCAGGCTCCCAGGCCTGCAGGGACAGAGATGCAGCCAATCCATTTCTGGCATGGATGGGAATTGCTGGACGAAACGGGCCATAGGAGGCAGCCAGCTGCCACAGGAGCGGTTGTTTTCCCAGACTCCTCACCAGGTAGGGGCTGGCCCAGGTGGAAGGGGCCCAGGCCAGCCATAGCCAAGAACGAGTGGCGGGGGAGCCAGGTGGCAGGAGGCTGGGCCCGTCCACGCTGACCTTGAGCCCATCGTGTCGCCGGGGTGTGAGTGACGTGAGGGGCAGCCCAGGAAATCTCTTACAGGCACCCACCTGCGAGCTGATGTCGAGTTTGGGTTTGGAGGCTGAGACAAGGGTTGCCCTCCATGTGGGCTGAGCCCACGGTTTGCAACTGCCCCTCAACAGCCCAATCGCCCCTTGGTCTGGCTTCTTTGGAGCCAGAGACAAACGCTAAAATGTGGACCAAACCGCAGCGGGGCAGGCTGGGAAGAGGTAGGCCCAGGGTGGCTTCCTCCGAGAACCAACATGAAGCCAGCGAGGAGGGGGCAGGGGACAGGCCACGTGCCCTAGGGGTTTGAGTCCGAGAAATCTGGAGTTAACACTGGGCATCAGAACCCAGGACAGCCGAAACCGGTTTGGCTGTGGATAGAGCATCGGCCTGCGAACTGAAAGGTCCCGGGTTCGATTCCGGTCAAGGGCATATACCTTGGTTGCGGGCACTTCTCCAGTAGGGGGTGCACAGGAGGCAGCTGATCGATGATTCTCTCTCATCGGTGTTTCTAACTCTATCCCTCTCTCTTCCTCTCTGTAAAAAATCAATTAAAAAAAAAAGAACCCAGGATAGCAGGAGGCCTACGCTAGGAGGCTGGAGGGACCAGCAGGCTGACACAGGGGGAGGGAGCCACCCTCAGACCTGGCTCAGCTAGTGTCTCCGTCTCTGAACTGCTGGTATGGGAGCCTGGTCACTCTCCGATGGAGCCGTGCTGGGCCCTTGGGGAGGTGAGCAGCACCCCTGGCCCCACCCACCAGATGACAGGAGCACACCCCCCCCCCCCCCGTGATGACAACCACAGCCGTCCCCAGACATGGCCCCGTGTTCCTGGGGGGCACAGTCCCCACTGGAGGACCCGCACCAGCCCCTGTGCCTTCTGCTAACTGGACCCAGACAGTGCAGCGACGCCCAGGAACCGACCACCGAGACGTTTTCTGTTAAAAGTCAGAAGTGTTTTGTCTTGTTTTAATATCTCATCAGCTTTACAGGGTTACAATTGTCTTAAATATTTCTGAAATTTAAATACAATCTGCATAATAGTTATAAAATGTAAACTTTCAGTGTTCTTTTAAATTTCAAAATCACACCCCCCCTTTTTTTGGTCTTTTGCCCTCCTCCCCCCTAATACCTGAATGTTCTGTAGAACTGAAATCCTTACCAGCTGCCCCACCGGCCAGGTGGCTGACAGGCGAGGCCCGGCCAGAGGTAGAGTAGTTTTTAACTTTTAAAAAAGTTTTTGCCTTTAAACCTGAGTTCGGGCGTGGCCCCCACGCCATCGGACAACCCCCAGAGAAGCTGAAATTTCACATGTCAGGAATGAAAAGCTGAATTCATTCGTGTTTGCCAAGAAAAAAACGCACAAGCAAGCAAGAGAAAAACGACAGAAGTGGGCAAAAGTCATAAAAGCAAAAAAAGTGACTGTACAAATGCACAACTATTAAAAACTAACTGCTGCCCGACGCCTCTGCCCGCCCCTTGCCTGACAGCTACAGTTTAGGGGTCACCAGGAAGGTTCTAGAAGCAGCCCGTAACGAACACCTCTAGAGCAGTTAGGTTAGCCCCGGAGCCCTTCTTGACCCTGAGTTTGGGACTCCCTACCTGCTCTGTGCAGCTAAGCCTCACCCGTTCCGGAATGAACAGCGCACAAGCCAGCTGCTGACAGAGATGGCTGTCCCGTACACATCCGGTTTGCATAAAGAGGTGCTGAGCTGCACCCCAGAACCCTCACCAACAGGAGGTTGCCCTGAGCTGGGATTGGCAGACGGGACTCAAGGCAGAGGCACAGCACTGCCCCAGCCTGGGGCTCCCCCTCATCTTTCCACCTCTCCCCCCCGCTGCCCACGGCTCCCCCACGGCTCCCCCACCCTGGCCCCCTACAACCACCATGAACAGTAGGCATGCCCTGAGTTAGATCTGGGGGCTGTATCACCCACAAGACACGACGCCCAACACACGCAGACACACACACACACACACACACTCACACACACACACTCATGTGACCAGAGACAGCACCCAGGCAGGCTCTCAGGTGGACACGCCCACTCCGTAGGTGGGGGGGGGGCAGGTACTGGTACATGCTGAAACCCTGAGCCAGCCAAGGAGGGCAGGCCAAGAGGGGTTTTGGCATCAAGAGTCAGACCCGAGGTAGAAATAACCAGGCAGCAGACACCCCATGTGGGCCCCACGTAGCTCCAGGGGGTCAGGTCAGGGGAAAGAGAGGAGGAGCATCCCGGATCACGGCTCTTGGGCAGAAAGACCCTCCTCCCACAGTGATTGTACTGCTGCATAAGGAACGGGGAGGACAACCGTGCACAAGGAGAGAGAGGGAGGAAACCCCACGTGCCTGCAGCCACCACTGCCCTGGGAGGCGGGGTGTCCTGACCCTGAGATATACCGGAGAAAGGGGCTCTCCCTGGACACCCCAGCATGACCCCGAGCAGGGCGCTCCCCCCTCCCGGGTCTCCAAGGCCACAGAGGGCCTGGCTCCGGGATCACCGCTCGGGACCGGGAGGCTGCCAGGTGGCATCGTTAGGCCGGGCCAGGCTCCCGGGGCCCAATTAGCGTTTCCAGGCAAACTCGGTGACAGGAGAGTGCGCTGGGGTGTGGGAGGCACCGTTTCAATCAGCACCACCTGGTCCCCAGGGACCTAGCAAGGCGGAGGGGTGAGGGGTGGTGGGGGCTGAGGGAGTCCCCAGAACCCCGCCTGGTGTTTTGGACAGAGGGAGCTACCTCATGGTGAAGACCATCACCCCGCTCAGCCTCCCACGGAGGACCACCTTCTAACCTGGGTAAGTGGTCACGTTGGGGTAGGTGCAGCCTCCCCATGGGCCTCTGGTTCCTTTAGCGATAGCAGATGTGGCCTTGCTAGGGGCCAAGAGAGAAGGAAGGAACAACGTGGAGGAGATGGGAAGGGGTGGGGTGTTCAGGATGACGGCCTCAAAAACCTCAACCCGAGCTACACCTGGCTCGCCCCAGTCCTCAAGTATCCACGTGCCTCTGAAAGCAGCCCTTCCAAAAGCAGTGGTGGTACAGTGCTGAGCACAGGTGCCTTCCAAAGCGGCCCTTTCAGCCCCGCCAGCGTCGACCCACGACCCAGGAGGTTGGATTCCCGGTCAGGGCATATGTCTGGCAGTGGGCTCAATCTCTAGCAGTGAGTGTGCAGGAGGCAGCCGACCGATGCTTCCCTCTCATGGATGTTTCTCTCTCTCCCCCTCTCTCCTTTCTCTGAAATCAATAAAAACATATTAAACAAACAAATAGAAAAGCAGCCCTTCCAGGTAAGAGAGAGTCCATATTCATCCCTGAGACAGGAGCCTGAGGGCTAAGACAGCACAACTCCGCCCAGGCCTAGGCCCTGGCCCTGCATCCAGCACTTTCTCTCCAGTTAAGACTTCCAGATCCCCGACAGGCAGCAGGCACGGCACAGCGAGAAAAAGCATCGAGCGGCTTGGTCTGCCATTCAGCATTCACATCCCCAGTCCCCCCTCGGCTTGCCCCTGAACGGACCCCACCCCAGCCTGGCCCTCAGCACCTGAGTTCATCACCGTTTCTGACTCTAGCCCGGGGATACAGTGTCCTGTGCGTGCGAGCTGCCTGCCGCAGCACAGGGAATGCACACAGAACCCAGTTCAGTCACGGGGAAAATGGAAAGGGTGTTACCTTTTTTGCTTTTTTTTTAAAATCCCGTTTCCCTGAATGAACACAAATATATAGAGATATATATCCTTTTCCTAAGGTTTGATTCCTCCCCAAAGAATAAAATAGAACATTTACAGAACAAAAAAACCCCCCAAACCTCTCAAAAACCCTATAGAGCTTGAATATCGCTATTTCTTTAAAAAATAATAATAATAATAATAAAAAGTTCCCAAAAGCAACAAGAAAAAAAATTCAACTGATCTTGGCTCAGGGGTTTCATTCAAAACAAGGAGCTGGGTATGATGAGTGGATGAGTGTGTGATGAACAGGAACAAAAGTAAAAAAAAAAACAACAAAAAAAAACAGACAAAAATGAAAACACACAGTGCAGGGATGTATGAGGTAAACAGGATCTGGCCTTACATTGCAACTGGTCCAAACCAGACACCAGACACCAGTCCAAATCGGCCCGCCAGGGCTGCAGGAAAGCCCTGGGAGTATCTGCCACTCTCTTTCCTGATCTCCTTAGCTGTTCTTACAGTTTCTCTCTCTGAATGTCTAAAACCTGAGTAATTCAAGTGTTCCTTGGTTTTCCCCTGTTTTATTAAATTTTCTTTATATATATGTATATATTTTTTTCTTCTATTTTTGGTGTTAGCTGTGGCTCCTCTGTGGATTATTTCCCCTCCCCACCCGTATCTTCCACCACCCCGCCCTGCGCGGCCCACCTTTCCCGCACCCTGCCCAGCTGACCAGCTCCTGGGGGGGGGGGCGGTGGGGTGGTGGTGCAGTTAAGGCAATGAGTTATTTGAGGTAGAAGACGTTGGGGGTGCGGATAACCCCGCTGGCCCGGCCTGGCTGCCCGCGCTGCTGCTACTGGTCCCACTGTTTCCTCCCCGGCTGCTGCCACCACCGCCTTTGCTGGGAGCGGAGGCTGGTGTGGGGGCTGGTGGCTGAGCAAACAGCACTCCTAATGCAAGGACAGGAGGAGAGACGTGTCATGGAGCGTTAACACATTAGGTGACCCCCAAGCAATGACCCCCTGCAAAGTCCACCCTTGGATCCACTAGGACACCTGCCACCTCATCTTAGTCTCTGCTTCCGGTGGGGGTCTTTGCCCAGCAACCCAGCTGTTTTGTGTCCCTAGCACCACCTGGTGGCCTAAAGAGCAACTGGCCTGACTACATTTTTTTTTTTTTTACAAGGAATTTGGAAACATCACTTGTACAGTTCACATGAACACAGGTGTTAAGAGAGGCAGTCCCCTGGCACAGTTTAAAATCCAAATACAACTTTTAACTCCCCGAAACTTAACCACTAATAGCCTACTGTTGACCAGAAGCCTTACTAATAACATAAACAGTGATGAACACATATATATTTTTTTCTTTATAAACTGATTTTAGACAGGAAGGGAGAGGGAGAGAGATAGAAACTTCAATGATAAGAGAATCATAGATCTGACTCCTGCACGCCCCTTACAGGGGATCAAGCCTGCAACTGGGACATGTGCTCTTGACTAGAATTGAACCCGCGACCCACCCGTCTGCAGGCCAATGCTCTATCCACTGAGCCAAACCAGCTAGGGCTGAACACATATTTTGTATTATATGTCTTATATACTGAATTCTTATAATAAAGTAAGCTAGAGAAAAGAAAATGTTATTAAGAAAATCATCAGAGCCCTGGCCCATTTTGCCCAGTGGATAGAGCATCAGCCTGTGGACTGAAGGATCCCAGGTTCAATTCCAGTCAAGGACATATGCTCAGGTTGTGAGCTCAATCCTAGTAGGGGGCATGCAGGAGGCAGCAGATCAATGATTCTTTCTCATCATTGATGTTTTGCTCTCTCTCCCCTCCTCTTTGAAATCAATTAAAAAATATATATATATGAAAATCATCAGGGCCTTCCCAGTGTACACGGAACTTTGAAACATGTTTTTGGTTTAGTGTTGACCCAGGAACCAACAGGCTGCTGGTTCGATTCCCTGTCAGGGCACATGCCTGGGGTTGCGGGCTTGATCCCCAGAAGGCAGCCAATCAAGGATCTTCTCTCATGGATGTTTCTATCTCTCTATCCCTCTCCTTTCCTCTCTCTCTAAAAATAAAAATAAAAAAACATTAAAAAGAAAATCATCAAGAAAATACATTTCCTAGTCCTAGATGATTTGGCTCGGTAGATAGAGCATTGGACTACAGACTGGAAGGTCCCAGGTTCAGTTCTGATCAAGGGCACATGCGCGGGTTGTGGGCTCAATCCCCAATAGGGGGCGTACAGGAAGCAGCCGATCAATGATACTCTCTCATCATTGATGTTTCTATCTCCCTCTCCCTTCCTCTCTGAACCCAATAAAAATATATTTTAAAAAAAGAAAGAAAATACATTTCCAGTATTTGTGGGGGAAAAAAGCATTTATAAGTGGACCCATGCAGCTCAAACCCTTGTTGTTCAAGGGTAACTGTATTTTTGAGCTCTTATGTGCTAAGCCTCATGCTAAGTGCTTATTATGTGCTTAGAACTGTGCCAAGTACTTACTATGTGCTGAGCACTGTGCTAAGTATACTACATTGATTATATACTCAAGCCTGCAAGGGAAGGTAGAGCTTTGCTCACTCTGATGGCTGGGCTCATGCAGGCCAAACCCAGCGATTACCCAGGACTCCTAAATTAACCTGGGGAATGAAGTTGTCAAGGCGTTACCTGTATACATAATTCCGTTAATCTCCACTGACATGCTAATACTATTGCTGCCATTGGTGCTGGTCAAGTTTGCAGCTGAGTCTGGGCGGCTCTCCGAGGCTGTGGGAAGAAGAAAAGCCACCATTTGGAATCAGAAACTCATCGGTGCAGTGAGCCATTTCACAGCTCTCATCCCCACTTGACTTTAAAATTCACAAAGTGGTGGACTGTGTCTGCCACCAGCACACACACAGCATGATAAATACGGAATAAGAAGGTATGTATATGACATTTGCTCTTATCATGACTGTAATTCTTAAGCGATGTTGCACATCCAAACCATGTCATTCTTCTTAACAGCCACGAAGTCTTCCAGGCGTGACTCACTCATTCCTCACCGATGGACACACACATCGCTTCCAGGCCTCACTGTTACAACATCATGTAAATGACTGCAGTGAACAAACCTGTCTATACAGGTACCCCCTGCTTTTTGAAAATTCACCATTATACCGCTTGGAGAGGCTTCACAGGAATGCCCTGCTCCCAGACGGCGGAGACACCCACATTTCCTTGAGCACATGCGCTGGCTCTGCTATAGATACTAAACAGATCACTGATCATGTTTTCTGTTTTTAAGCGATTGCCAAATTGTCCCCTATTGGCACTCCCACCAGCAGGACACATTTCCTCACATCCTGAGCAACACTTGATATTATCAAACTCTGATGGGTGAGAAGTGGTGTCTCCTTGTTAACGTGCAGATGCCCGTCTAGATGGAGCTGAAAGGCTTTTCTTCTCCATCCTTACAAGGGGAAATGTGTTTACTGATTTTAGAGAAAGTGAAGGGAGAGGGGGGGAGAGAAACATTGATGTGAGAGAGAAACATCGGTCAATTGGACCAGAAATCGAACCTGTAACCTTTTGTTGCACAGGACGACATTCTAACCTACTGAGCTGCACCGGCCAGGGCTGAACATCTTTTTCAAAGGAACCTACTAGTCACAACTGCCCATTTTCCCCCTATTGATTTGTTTGCCTTTTTTCTTATTGATTTACAGGCACTTTTTACATAGGTTGGCTCCGAGACCCTTCTTTTGTTTCTCATGCAGAGCGTGTAGGTCTGGGGTGGGCTGGTACCTTGGCTGTTGATGCGAATGCTCATGGGCAGCTGGGCTGTCATGGCCAGGAAGTTCTGCTGGAGCGCTCGCTGCATGAGCCGCTGCTGCTCGTCAGCCACCAGGGCCATCTTCTTCTCCGGAGGCTCCCCCGACTCCAGCTTCTCCCGGAGCTGCTCCAGGGCAGCCGCCTGCGCGGCCACGGCTGCCTGGGCTGCTGCTGCTTGCACTGCCACTGCCTGGGCTGCCACCACGGGGTGGCCTGCCAGGGAGACTGGCAGGCGGCCGGGGACGGTGATGGGGATGGCCGAGTCCTCCTCTAGACAGGAGAGAAGAGGAGGTGGTGGCCAAAGGGGAAGTGAGGTGCTTGGCCCAGCCTTCCACCCACACCAGAATGAGCGTTCCCTTGAAGACCTCCACGGATGGGGCACCCACTCCCTCTCTGAGGGAAGTAATTTTTAAAATTTATTTATTTAATCCTCACCCAAGGACATGCTTAGAGAGAGAAAAGGAGAAACATCGATGTGAGGATAAACCGGCAACCCAGGTATGTACCCTGAACGGGATTGAACTGCCATCCTTTTTCCCCTCATTGATCCCTTTCACTCTGCCCTCACCCCTTCCAGGCCTTCACCACACTATTGTCTGTGTCCATGGGTTATGCATATATATGCATATAAATTATTTGGTTAATCCCTCCACCCCCACCTTTCCACTTAATCCACTGCCATCTTGGAATCGAACTGCCACCTTTTGGCGTACAGGACCTTGCTCTAACCAAATGAGCCACCCGGTGGCCTGGGCAGTAACTAGGTTTCTGAATAGACACAAGTGGTATAAACCCTTTGTAAAGCAGGTGATCATACTGGTAATACTGATGATAACACTACTAGTTATGTACTAGTGTTATAATAGCATTCAGTATCAGTACTACATAGATTCTATAATAGCATATAACATCCCAATATATAAAAAGCCAGGGGCCATCACAATCAAAACAAACCAGATGGACGACCCAACACAGGCTGTATGGGGTGACCAGGCTGGCAGGGGAGGCATTTGGGGGCGACCAGGCCGGCAAGGGGGGAGTAGTTGGGGGCGACCAGGCTGGCAGGGGAGTAGTTAGGGGCGACCAGGTTGGCAGAGGGGGGCAGTTAGGGGTGATCAGGCAGGCAGGTGAGCAGTTAGGAGCCAGCGGTCCGGGATTGTGAGAGTGATGTCCCACAAGGGGTTCCAGATTAAAGAGGGTGCAAACTGGGATGAGGGTACCCCACACTGTGCACAGATTTCGTGCACCGGGCCTCTAGTATTATATAATACTAGTCTTAACAAAAAGGCTCAGAACATGTCTAAAGCACTTCCATCTCAAACAGGAACCAACTCAAAGGGCCATTTCTACAACTTCAAATCTACTCTTATTTCCAGATGAGAAAACTAAGGCTAAAGATTCATAACTTTCCCAAGGCCACAGAGCTGGAAAAGGCTGAGCTTAGATTCAAATTCAATTCCCAACCACTCTCCTCTTCTGTGGTTAAAACAAATGTTCCGTCTTTCCCATCCACCAGGATCACTAGGACCTGCTGTCTCTTTTCCCCCAACTCACTCTGCTGCCTGTTGTTTCCAGGTTCTCTCATGACTCCCCTTTTATTTTTTAAAGCCTATTTTTAAAAAATATAAACTGGTTTGTCTCAGTGGATAGAGCATCGGTCTGCGGACTGAAAGGTCCTGGGTTCGATTCCGGTCAAGGGCATGTACCTTGGTTGCGGGCGCATCCCCAGTAGGGGATGTGCAAGAGGCAGCTGATTGATGTTTCTTTCATCATCAATGTTTCTAATTGTCTATCCCTCTCCCTTCCTCTCTGTAAAAAAATCAATAAAAAAGATATATATATATATATATATATATATATATATATATGTATGTATATATATATATAATACATTTTATTTAAAAATCAATAAAAAATATTTTTAAAAATATATTTTATTGATTTTATACAGAGAGGAAGGGAAAGAGATAGAGAGTTAGAAACATCGATGAGAGATAAATACTGATCAGCTGCCTTCTGCATGCCCCCTACTGGGGATCAAGCCTGCAACAAGGTACATGCCCTCAATGGGAATCAAACCTGGGACCTTTCAGTTTGGCTCTATCCACTGAGCCAAACTGGTCAGGGCATGACTCCCCTTTTATCTTATCTGCTACCACCTTCCCCAGTTCCAGCATGAGACCTGGCCCACATGGATGCTTAATAACCTTTAACAGATAGCTGGAACCCCCAGAGCCAGGAGGGTTAACCAAGACCCACAGAAGACTGACTGACTAATGTTAGCAGGACCTAACACTCAGGCCTGTGGGGATTGCCTCAGATCCTTGGGCCACGCCCAGGAAGTAGGGAGTCACAGCCCGTGTGGTGGAGGAAAAATAGGAACCCAGACCTGCAAACTGGCCAGCACGAGTCCACACTGCCACATGTGCTATCTGTGCTCTGTATTAGGAAGGATTCAAGGCTCAGGGGAATCTGAGCCTTGAATCGATCGACTGGTGATGTCTGCCATGGGTGTGAACTAGGAACGGAGGTTGTTTGTCAGGCACCTGCAAACCTGGGCCTGCTGCAGACTGGGCATCTTACACACTGAAGGCTCCCAACAATTCTACACCGAGGCGGGAATTGTCTCCACGTTACTCAAAAGGAAATCGGGCTCAGAAAGGGACACCGAGCTACGCAGGGGCACCTACCAATAGCTTCAGGGACGCTAAAGGGTCAATCTGATAGACCCATACTATACTCTCAATGATGTTTGCCGGGGCAGAGTGTTGAGGAAGATTCTAAAGCACAAAGGGAGAAGAATACAGTGATGAACTAATAATGTCTGTCATGGGCAAGGTACGGAAATACACAACGGTGATGGCCAGTGTCAGCCACAGGCAGAAGACTGGCACAAGGCCACAATAAATGATCAGAAACGCATGCTCCAGTAACAACTGCCTCGTGTGGACTGGGAAAACGGAGATGAATTAGGAATGTCAGGGTGGGAAACTTGTGCTTGATTTGTAACGTCTGCCCTGGCATAAAATCGAAGAAGAAAAAACAAAAACCTGATTAGTGGTGCCTGCCATGGGCTCAGAAAAATGTTCGTTGTTAAGTCATGTTTGCCACGAGCACAGCATTGCCAGATTTGCCACCCTCTCCCGTGACAAGGTTGGAGTTTATCAACCTGTTTGCCCAGAGAGGGGAAAGGTGCCAACGCCACAAGGCCATCGACCTGACCTGGGTGAGCCCCCAGGCTCGTGCGGGCCCTTACCTTTCTTGATCTTGGGGGCCTGGGTGATGGAGCTGCCGTTGGTGCTGGTGGCCAGGCCCAGGGAGGACACGGGCAGCTTGGGGGAGGAGAGCATGCTGTGGGCACCCCCTGGTGAGTAGGCGAAGAGGGAGCCCCCGAAGCTCTGGCGCCGGCCCTCCCGCCGGTTGCTGTCGATGGCCGCCTGGAGCTCGTTGGGGTTGCTGAGGCCGCGTTTCTCACACTCGTAGGGGTACAGGTACTTCATGTACCTGGGGGGCGGGGAGAGTGGGCAAGGGGGCGCCTGGCACACCTCCCGTGACTCCCTGCTGCCCTCGCATTCCAGTGATGGCACCACGTCCCACCCTCCGTCACGCATGGCTGCCAGAGAGTCCCTCGACGAGGCTGAGCCAGGCATATTGCTCATGCTGTTCCCGGTCTCAATGCTTGTCCCCATGACTGCCTCCCACTCATCCTTTAACGCTGAATTCCAGAACCTCGGAGCCAGGAACTTCCTGAAAGCCCCACCCAAGGCTCTCAGGATGCAGACTCCTCACTGGCCCGGTGCCCCCGCGGCCCCTCCGGCCCCAGGCCCTGCGCGCTCGCACACTCACTGGGTCCGCAGGGTGAAGGCGGCGCTGGTGATGGACGTGGGCAGGTTGAGGCCCTTGGTGATCTCGCGCCACAGCTTCTTGTTGATGACCTCCACCAGGCCACCCTTCTCCGTCACCAGCACGTACAGCATGAACAGGTCAAGCACCTGCTTGGCCATGATGGGGATCCGATTCACAGGCGTCCCTGCGGGGGAGGGGGAGTGTGGGGAAGGGGTCGCTGTGGCAGGGCCAGGGCCCCCCATGCAGTCTATGGCTAACACACAGCTGCAGAGCAGGGTCTCCCTGCTGTGTGGACATCAGGGGGGTCACTGTGGGATGCTGAGCAGCGTCCTTGTGCCCACCCACTCGATGCCAGCAGCACCCGCAGTAATGACCACCACAGGTGTCCCTGACATGGCCCCGGGTGAGACCCATGCCCTGCTCCAGGCCGTACTAAGGTAACAGCTCTGCCTCAGTTTCCTTTTCTTTTAAAGATTCGTTTTTATTGATTTAGGGCACGCGAGCCGCGGTTTGCCGCTCTGTTGACTGATGAGTTTGCCGACCTCTGTGCAAGGCATTACCCTTACCCAGAAGTTTTGACTTCAGGTTAAAGACATGAATACATTATTAAAATGTGGGTTTTTTTTAAAAGTGTTTTTCCCTAAGGCAGTGGTCAGCAAGCGCATTCCTCAACAGAGCGGCAAACTGCGGCTTGCGAGCTGCATGTGGCTCGAGAGCCGCAGTTTGCCGACCACTGATTTAGGGAGAGGGAGACAGAGAGAAGCTTCGACGAGAGAGCAAGACGTTGATTGGCTGCCTCCTGCCCGCCCCCTACCAGGAATCGAGCCTGTAACCTGGGGCATGTGCCCTGACTGGGAATCGAACCAGCAACCTTTCAGTACATGGGATGATGCCTACCCAACGGATCCTCATTGACCAGGGCCTGCCTCCGCTCTCTCAGTGATCTGGCTCATTGCTCAACTCAACGGCGGGGAGGAGAGGAGTGTGCAGAGGGAGATGCTGGGGGCCCCTCTGGGGAGGAGCATGAGAAATGCAGCCTTTGTTGTTCCTGCTCCCATCACCAGCCGCAACAGCTGCCCAAACAACTCTGCCTGGGCGCCCAGGCCTGCTCCTCGGCCTGGCTGCAGTGTGGTGTGAGGGCGGGAGCCTGGTTAACCCACGCAGAGCTGTGGTTCCCACAGGGGGACAATTCGAGAACGAGTTATTAACAGTGAAGTTTTTGCATTTCTCATGGTGTTAGGGGCCTCTATACAGTATATAAACATATATTGTGACATATTTATGCATTTCAGTTCTCTATTATATGTTTTGAAACTTTGTGTGCTGTATTTTCATATTGATAATATTATTTTTTAAAACAATTTAGTGATTTCTTCCCAGGTACTTCAACTGTTGTTTTATTTTTCTCTTTCACGGATGCCTGTTCTTTGGAAGCTTGTTTAGACCAAGCTTTTGAGGCTTCCTCCGCGTGAACAGGAGCTCACTTTTTATATAATAACAATTATATGTCACGGGGGGGGGGCCCCCCCGCGGGGCATCAGGATGTTAGAGATGCTTACATAAGAGGGGCGTGGCCACAAAAAGGTTGGGAACCACTGACTGAGAGGGGGGCAGCGGGCAGCCCAGGGAGGGGAAGGGGGTGGGCTTGTCCAGGGAGAAAGGGCAATGGGCTAGCTCCATGAGGGGCAGACTGCCCCCTGCAGATAGGCCTGCTCCCTCTCCTGCCCACTGACCTTCTTCTTCTTCTTCTTTTTTTTTTTAAAATATATTTTATTGATTTTTCACAGAGAGGAAGAGATAGGGATAGAGAGTTAGAAACATCGACGAGAGAGAATCATCGATCAGCTGCCTCTTGCACACTCCCTACTGGGGATGTGCCCCTAACCAACGTACATGCCCTTGACCGGAATTGAACCTGGGACCTTTCAGTCCGCAGGCCAATGCTCTATCCACTGAGCCAAATGGGTTTCGCCCCACCTGACCTTCTATATCCTCTTCCCCAGAAGCTCCCAGCCTCAGAGCCTTCAGATCTCTGTTTGACCAAGGGTAGAAAAGCCCGTGCAAACCTCTCTCCCTGGCAGTGGGCCCTGGTACACCGTCTATGCAGCCCCTCGCCCTGTCAGCTCACACGGACCTCAGCGCCCAGCCTGGCAGGTAGGTAGCACGCGTTCCATAAACAGTGAAGGCTGATAAGCTACATCTCAGCGACAGGGTCAGGCTTGCCCCCCACCCCCTTGGAGATGGGCAAAGGGGGGCTGCGGAACGTGACCGGATGGAGGAAGGTCCACGTGAGGGGCCAGCGTGCCTGTCCCAGGGGCCTGGGCGACGCCCTCCACCTCTGGACATTCCAGAACCACCTCCCACCACCGTGTGGCTGCTTTCTGGCCCTTCCCACATGGCCAAATCCCCAATGAACTGAGAACCACCTGGAGCGGGGACAGGAAAACGGACCTCGGACCTTCCCCCATCCCATCCCCCAATGTCATTTTCAGCCCATGGGGGAGAGAGAAAAAGCAACACCAGTGTCAGCACACTAGGCCGGCCGGAGGTGTGGTCCCAGCGCCATCCTGCCCGGACCCAGGCTCAGGCTCTGCCTGGTGGGGGAGGGGGCGGGGAATTAAGGAATCAGATCCTCTGGGCTCCGCGGTGGGCAGGCAGTGGGGCCTGGACGGATGTTTATAGAAGGAGGGGGCTGGGAGAGCACAGAGCGGCATTGATGGTGGACAGCGAGGGCTGCGGGGAGATAAGCAAGGGTGGGGAGGTCGTCAGGGAAACAGCAGGAGGGCGGGGTGAGGCTTTTACTGTGTGACCCTCTGTCTGGAGAGCACGGTGTCCTGGGTGGAGGAGGTCTGACAGATCCTCTCCCCCAAAGGCCCCCAACGGCAGAGGAGGAGGGTCCGAGAAGGTGGCAGGGAAGGGAGGGCCTCGGAGCTGGGTTCTGAGAACCGCGTAGGAGTTTGCTGCCACCCAGCCTCCGGCAGCACCTGTCCTGGTGAAGAAGGCAGGACTGGACACACCCTCACAGCCTGGATGGCAAGGGGCTGGACTGATGTCTCTGGGTCCCCCCTCCCCAGCTCACTCACACCCAGGGGCCGCTCACAGTGCTTTCTAAGCACCTCGGAGACACAGGGTGACTGGTCCTGGGTAAATGGTAGGCTCCAGGCCTGGACACTCTGAGCCCCATGGCAGGGGGTAGGAGGGAGGGCTTGGGCAAGTGTGGACAGGCCGATAAAGAGAGAGGGGGATCTCTCTGGCCTCACAGGGGACAGCAGCCCAGGCGGGGGCTGGGCTGGATGATAACAGGATAACATGAGAGGGGCCCCGGCCCCGGGGCTGGTCTACATTCTTCCATCCCAGCACAAGAGGGGTTAACCAGAGGCTGCAGCCCCCTCCCCTTTCCTCTCCTTCCCTTCGGGGCCTGACCAGGCCTGTGTTTATAGAAGCTACTGGTGAGGGGGGGTGGGCAGAGGCCCAGGACAAAGCAGCAGGGGCCAGGCCCCTACAATGGCCTTAGTGGACCCCGCAGCCCCGCCAGCCCCACCCCTTCCTGCCCCTGTGGCCCCAAGGCCATGTGCCCTCTCTGGGCCTCAGTTTCCTTCTCGGAACCACGGGGGCTGTCCGGGCCGGAGGAATGAGCCCCGCCCTGCAGGGGGCACTCCTAAAACAGGCCGGTGTCCCCTCCCATTGGCAGCTCCACGATGAGGGCGAGGCCCGTGGGCAGGGGGCCTCTGGGGACCCCCTAGCCGCCCTTTGTCCAATCTGAACTTGAGTCACCCCACATGCCTCTGATATCCTCCACTGCCTGAGCCTCAGTTTCCCCACTCACTCACGCGGACCAGCCCCCGCTCCTGTCACCGTTCTCACGGCCCAGGCATTTCCTGGTGGGGCCTGGTTGGTGTCCATCTCACCCCAGACGGGGGGAAGAGGGGATGGGCTGCAGTGGCCAGGAAACTGTTGGCACTCAGTAAATGCAGCTTGGGGCATTGCAAACAGCAGGGACTGTTGGTGGCCCATCTTACAGATGGGAATCAAGGCCCCTAGGAGCAGAGGAGGGGCTGTGGCACCAGAGGGCACTCTAAGCCACGGGAGCTTGAAGCTGCGTGGTGAGCTTCCGTTCTGTTGCTCCAGTGCCCACTTGCCCACCTGTGGATCCAACCCCACCCTCCGAACAGAGGCCAGCCCCCCCCCCCCCCGCCAGTGTGGGGGATCCTGGGAGCCAGGACCCCGTCGTATCCTCTGTCTCAGCAGCAAGGGAAAAAGCTGAGCCGCCCTCCCACAGCAAGGACGGACCCCTCTGACCCTCACAGCTGTGCCTCCCCCTCAGACCACACATGGCACGGCCACGTCCCCCCTCAGACACCGCCTGCATGCCTCCAGCCAGGAAACTCAGGGCCACTCTGACTCAGCAGCCCCCCAAGGCGGCGGCTGGCAGGGCCCCCCTTCCCCGTGATGCCCAGTTCCCACCACTTCCCAGCGGGCAGGCCTCACCTCGCTTCTGCATGAAGCTGAACAAGTCGTCCAGGAACTCCTTCCTCTTGGGGTCCCCGTCCAGTTCGTAGAGCTGTGAGGGCAAGGAGGGGAACAGTCACCTGGTGCAGAGCTCGGCACAGGCACCGTCTCCGTCATCAGGAGCCGTGGAGGGGCTGCCGACCGGGATGGGCACTGGGGCCCCAGCACCGCCCGGGCTTCAAGCATCTCCGAGGCCCCACCAAGCAGTGACCTGCCCCCCACGTTCAGATGAGGACAGAGCCATCGACGAGCCTCCCAGGGCGGTTTAAAACAACAGGTTTATCCTCCTGCAGTTCTGGGCTGGAAACCTGCGATCCAGGTGTGCCAGGCCAAGCTCCCTCCTGAGGCTCCGGGGAGGGTCCCTCCTGCCCCTTCGAGCTCCTGGCAGCTCCAGGGGTCCCTGGGCTTGTGGCTGCATCGCCCCAGGCTCTGCCTTCGCCGTCACCTGGCTCTCCTCTGCGTCCAAATTCCCCTCTTCCCACAGGACACCCGTCACTGGACTTAGGGCCACCTCATCTCATCCCAATGTTTGACAATTGACATTTGCAAAAACCCTACTTCCAAATAAGGTCCCGTTCACATCATTAAAAAAAAAAAAAATCATTTTAGAGACAGAGGGGGAAATGAGGTGGGGGGGACCATCAATTTATTGTTCCACTGATTTATGCAATTATTGGGTCGATTCTCATTTGTAGCCCGACCAGAGATTGAACCTGCAACCTAGGCGTATCGGGACGATGCTCCAACCAACCAAGCGACCCGGCCAGGGCTTAAACACATCATTTTGGGGGACACATTCACACCTGACAAATAGCCCAGGTCGTTGCCACGGTGAGGAGTCCCGACCCCGCACAGAGGCAGGGGACGCTGCAGCCCTGGGCAGTGAGGCCTCTGGGTCCAGACTCGGTCCCGGGCACTGGCTGCCTGGGCTTGCCAGTCACCGCAGGAGGGGACAGGGCCCCCTTTTGGGGTTTGGGAGGCAGGGGGCCCTCCACCCCATTGACCATAACCTCCCAGGTGCTGGGGGAGAAAGCCAGTAGAGATCATTCCAGAGTGAGGAGGAACAGGGAAAATTCAGCTGTGGGAGATACAGCACTGTGGCTGCTGGACACGGAGGGATCGGGACCCTGAAACCACCTGGTAACCCAGCTCGGCTGGAATCATCCATCATTAGGGCCCAGAATGCCCCAGTACCCAGTCCCTCCGACAGGGAGATCCGGGGGCCCAGGGAGGTGGGCTTGTCAGGGCCAGCCATTCCTCAGCCATGCTGCCCCTCTCTGGGCCTCAGTTTCCCCATCTATGTAAGGGAGACAAAATGGGGCCTCCAAGGCAAGGACTGGGGGAGGCAGGAGCCCAGCCCTGGGTGGTCGAGGCCTTTGTCTCCATCCTGCCCGGCCAGGCGGGCTGGCCACATTCCTGTGCTGATTTACGGCGTCCAGGGAGGCCCACACTCCCCCCTGCCTGAAGGGCGTGGGCCCAGCAGGTGGACTTTCCATTGGCGTGCTCACGCCAGGCCTTGTCTGTCCACTCCCAGCCCACGTGACACAGCCGTGTCCCCGCCCCCATCCTCCTCCGCCCTGGCCGGGGGGTGTGAACTCACACACGCCTGGTTCCCTGCCTGCCTGCCTGTGGGAGATCAGGGACAGGGTCTGTTTTGTTGCCAGAGCCTAGAAGGTAGCCGAGTACACAGCAGTGGTGTAAGAAGTGCCAGTTAAGTGAACTCTGCTTTCCCAGCTACAAGGTGGGCCTAGCAAGGCAGAGGGGGGGGCCAGGTGCCCCCCAGGTCCTCGGGAGGGGACCTTATTTTGAAACAGGACCTTTGCAGACGTCATTGGCGAAGTTGAGGCCACAAGGGAGGAGGTGGCCCTAACCCAATGACAGGGTCCTTCCTTATGCGAAGAGGTGGGACACAGACAGGAGGAGAAGCCACGTGGGGACAGAGGCGGACACTAAGCTGTGCGGCCACAAGTCCAGGGACCTGGGAGCCCCCAGAAGCCGGAAGCAGCGGGAAGGGTCCTCCCCAGCCCCCGCAGGAAGCTCGGCCCTGGGACACCGGAGGATAAACGATGTGCTGAGCTGCTCAGCGTGAGGCCGTTGGTCACGGCGTGGAAACCCGTGCAGGGGCAGCGTGTTCCCCTCTGAGATCCTGACCCAGGGGGAGCATGGCCTAGACCCCTTCCCCAGGCCCAGCCCTCCCAGGCCCTCAGAACGCCGCCTGCCTCAGCCTCCGTCCTCAGAGGACACTGCGCAATCAACACAGCGGTGTGGCCATCAGCACCTGCACTGTAACGACCCTCACAGTCCCGGTGGGAAACTGAGGCCCGGGGTGGAGGCCAGCTGCTCCATGACCCCTGGCAGAGGCGGCTGGCTCAGTGGGGGTGCAGAGGCTGTTAACCCCCGGGCCAAATGGTGGGCAGGCCCTCGTGGGGCCCGGGCACAGGATGAGGCCATAAAGGGGATGTGTGGTGAATACAGCAGCTTTAATAGCCGTGTCATGGGCAGCTGACAACAAAGCTGGGCAATAAAGGCTGCCCGGGCTTTACGGGGCTCTGGCCCCAAGTTCCGCACCCCCGCGGTGCGTGTCCCGCCCCGGCCAGCTGGACTGGGCTGTCCGCCCGGCCACAGGAATGGGAGCTGGGGACGGTGTCCAGGCTCCTCATGGCGGTGTCCAGGCCCGCGAAGTTGAGGCCACACGGGAGGAGGTGGCCCTAACCCAACGACAGGGTCCGCTGGGGACAGGCCCGGCTGCGTCCCCACAGGCCCTGAGTCACACAGCCGGGCCGTCACACCCCTTTACCACGGCCCAGCCTGGCTCCCTGGCTGCAGCCCTGCCCTCTCAAGGTGGACCAAGAGGTGCTGAAACCAGCCCCCTGCCAGACCCAGGGCCACAAACCCAGGCCGGAGACTGGGCCAAACCCTCAAACCCCTCCTCAGGCTGAGGCCTGAGGCAAGGGCCCCACATTCCTCCCTGAGACCCCATTTCCCTGGGACCAAGTGTCAGGGCCGAGGGCGAGACTCGCTCTGGCTTTGTCTGGTTCTGAAGATGCCCACCCCTGCAGCCCACCAGGGCCCACAGCCCCACAGCCCCGAGGCCGTCTCCCCTCTCCCCTGGCCACTGGCTACTCCTCTAACCCATCAGAGGTTCCACCTCCCGGCCTCTGCCCTGGCAGTTCCACCCGCCTGGAATGCCCTTCCCAGCTCTGCCCCCACTGGCTCCCCTTCATCCCGATGTCCCATCGCTCAAACGTCACCACCACCGAGGGCCCACCCCTCCCTGAAAGCCCCGCCCTCAGGTACCTCAGCCTCAGCCCGTCTCTCCCAGCCCCGCTCTCACCTGGAGCATCTCTTTTCCTTGCTCACCCCCATCTCCCCAACCTAACCCTCCTGTCACCCGACCCACACGGATTCACACCCTGTCCTTCAGCCCCACAGCACGTTAGGGATTTTCTATCTCTTGTCCCCAGTGCCTGGAATTGGCCACCCCGCAGCCACCATTAAATGGACCTGGGTTCCTCAGTGCCGCATAAACACAGGGACGCACGTCCTTCCCCAAATGCAGCTACACCCTTCAAGCCAGGCCACGCTGTGCCCTCTGCTGGGTTCACTTCCTGCCCCGTGACCCTTCTCAGGCCTCGGTTTGTTCAGCTGTGAAATGGGTGCAGAAGTTCAAGCATGTGAGATGTGGATGTGAAAGCCTGGGTTGGAGGCACCCACAGAGGCTCCCTTCTCCTCTCCCACCTGCAGGTGGGGCCACTGGGGCACCCACAGCCCAACCCCGTGTCGGTGTCCACCCACAGATCACCAAGCCAGGCTGACTATGTGTCCCTCTCCGCCTCCCTAGCACCAAGCACTGCACAAAGGAGAAACTGGGGCTCACCAGCCTGCCCCCCCCCCATACCCCCAGCAGCCAGAGGGGCTTTCCAGCCCGCCTCTTCCCTACCCTACAGTCCTCACCTCCCTCCGATTCAGCCCCTTAGGACTGCCTGCTTTCTGAACAAAATAAGCACCATCTCCCGCCTCAAGGTTTTGCAAGGACTGTTCCCTCTCCTGGAAGGCAGTTCCCAGATCTCCGCACAGCCAGTCCCTCCTTCCAGCCCAACATCACCCTCTCAGGGCGCCACCCCTGCACCCTCCCCCACCCCTTCCTTACCCTCTGACCCCTTCATCTGCTCCAGTTTCCTTCCGAGTGCTTTGCACAAAGAGCTCAATCCACAGGTCCTGACACTGCCCTCGCTGTAGGCCCAGCCTGAAGGTGTGGGGGAGGGAGCCGAGGTGCCAGGACCCGCTGGGGAGATCCCCCAGGGGGGCGTGGGGCAGCCAGGTGAGGAGCAAACAAAGCCAGGAGGTCTCAGGGCTCAGATGGGGAGTGGGGACAGGACGGGCAGGGGGTAAGCAGGAGGAAAAATGAGGTAACCACCCCAACCCCAAGGGTATGGTGGGCAAACAGGAAATTCTTGTTTGTGGCCAAACAGCATTTTCACCACAGCCAGGCAGGTTATCCTGCTGACCAGGCGCAGATAACCCCGCCCCGTCCTGGAGCTGCGGGGGTCCTCTGGAGCCAGAGAGCTCACCCTAGTGTGGAACCCCTACCAGCCTGCTGGCCCGGAGAAGAGAGAAAGGCCGGTGTCCACTAGCACATCCACCGTGACCCGTTGGGGTGGGGGGACTCTCAGGGCCCAGCACACACGTCTCCTCCCCAGCTCCCAGCCTGCCGAGGGGCCCAGGGCAGCCTTAGCCCTCAGGGGCCCGGGCTATAAACATCAAGAGAGCCCGCGGGCCCCAGGAAGACCTTTGCTCCTTAACGGTGTCTGCTCAGGCCCCCTCCCGCCACCCAGGTGGCTCCAAAGTCCACGGGGCCCCACCTCTAGAGGAGGCCGCGGGGCTGGCGGGGGCCGGGCGTGAGGCTGGCTCCGCGGACGGCGGGACAGGGGGCCGTGCCGGAACCCTGAGCCACCGAGAAGCCTGGCGGCCTCTGTGGCAGACGAGAATTCGCTAGAGAAACGCCGAGCACCGCTGGTTTTCAGAAAAAGGCGTGTTTTTGTACCATCCAGC